CTAAAACCCTAAACCCTAAACCCTAAACCCTAAACCCTAAACCCTAAACCCTAAACCCTAAACCCTAAACCCTAAACGGTACGATTGCGAGATAGATCGTCGGAGTTACGAGAGAGGTACGTTACGATAACGCACATATTACGTTAACTAGTTAGCAGCGCGTAACATGAAGGTGTTGTTATATAAAGCGGTTATAGATCTAGCGCTAGGAGATCTAGGATTTCTTAGATAGGAAGGCTATTAATAACCTTTCTACTATCGACTAGATAGATCCTACGATCTTTAAACGATTCACGAATAATTCGCTAGCTAAACGCTCTATTCCGAATATTACCGATTATTCGAAGGAACTCCGATCTTCCGATAGGGCTTCTACCCTAAAACGCGTGGTCGTTATTCGCTAAGTAGAAGTATTACTTATAGCTTAGAAACGGCTTACCGTCTAGCGGTTAGTAAAGGTATATAGTATATAGTAGAAATCCTATTAGTAGGATATCGTTCTCTTCGTAAAGGTGTAGGAATTCGAATATAAGATATAAACTATAACCGTCGAAGATTAGGATACGTTTTTTACCCGATTTCGTACGGTCGCGTGTTAATTCTATAAAGAATCGAAGCTACTAAACTACTATATCGTCGGTTATCTAACCGTTTAGCGATATAGTAATTATAGTATATAGTAGTAGGCCTTCTATTTGATTAAACTAAGATTCTATAAAGATCCTATTGCCTTTGAATATAAACTAAGGTTCTAACTACTACCCGTCGGCAGCGATATACTCGATAGTCGTTATATTTTCGCCTTAGTCTAGCTAAGGAAGATCTACTATCTTCCTACTACTACTACTACTACTACTACTACTACTAGTAGTAGTAGTAGTAGTAGTAGTAGAAGATATAACGTTTCTAGATCTTCCTTCGCCTAGTTAAAAGCTGTATTTATTAAAGTTGTAGACTAAGCGTGCTAGTGTAGTCTTCTTGATTGTTTAGGCTAAAAGATTGTACTAATATTATAATACTGCTAGATCTTCTGCTAGGATTCGCTTTGATTCCTTCGTATACTACTTAGTAGGCCCTAATTGAAGATATTTAGGAAGCCTATTAATAAAGCGATACGCCTATATCTTGCTAATCGGCGGCTTCCCGACGCGTTAGCATACACGATTCGCCTACGCTTCTAGTATCCTAGGAGTGATAGGTATATAGCAATCGTTCATATATTAGATCCAGCGAATCAAGGCCTCTTCTTGATAGGCTTCTAGAGCGTATCCGTTCCCGCTTCTAGCTATACGAGGCCCTGTTCCCTTTTTAACACGTCGATAGAGAGTGCTTTGATTAACACCAAATTCGCGTACTAGACGCGCAATATTCGGCTTCTCTTCGCGTGACGCTGCTAGGCAGGCCTCAGCCATACGAGATTCATCAATTTTAGGCATATTTAGATAGTGGTGTTGGATAGAGAAGCAAAAAATAGGGTGGTGGGAAAGATTATGCATTAGGGTGTGGTTATGCATTAGGGTGTGGCACACCCACAACGCGAAGCGGTGTGGGTGGGCGGAGACACTGCTATCTGTTGTTCCGACATCTCTTATAGCCTCGGCGAAAGTCACGTGCCAAAACGGGTAAGTCGTGCATCTCCGCTTTGCCGCAGACGTCGGAAGCTAGTGGGCTCCAGATAATAGAAGCATCCGACCCAATTTCGATCACAACATGTCCTGCTTGGTGAACGGCATAAAATTCTTCTCCAGTATGTTCCAGCTGCGTCATTCAGGCTTATAAGCTTACCTCCTCTCCTCCATTCCCTAGGTACGGCCTCTTCGTTACTTGCAGACGCTTCGGCGGCTGCCGCACGATCCGCTCGTCAACCGACCTCGTTCCAAATCTTCCGTGACGTGCCTGAACTTCGCCAATTGCGTCGGAAATGAATTCAAAATGATCGCACTATCGGATTCGTGCCCACGATGGGTGCCCTTCATGAAGGCCACCTGTCGTTGATTCGAGAGGCCGCGCGAGAGAACACTGACGTCTTCGTGAGTATCTACGTCAACCCGACTCAATTTGGCGTCAACGAAGACCTTTCAAGCTATCCTCGCACTTAGGATAGTGACGTCAAGAAATTGGAGAAGCTCAATGAAGAGCTCGGCAATTTGGGTGCCGGCACGGGACGGATTACTGCCATCTTCGCCCCGACCTCGAAGGTCGTGTACCCTACAATGCCACCTTCGTCGGAAATCGACGGTCACGGCTCATTCGTCAATATCAGCCCTCTTGCGAGAAATCTTGAAGGTGTCTCCCGCCCGGTATTCTTCCGCGGCGTTGCGACAATCTGCATGAAGCTATTTAATGTGACCACGCCCGATCGTGTCTACTTCGGCCAGAAGGATGTGCAACAATCAGTGATCGTCAAAAGGATAGTTAAAGACTTCCTTGTTGATACTGAGGTTCGGATTATTGCAACCGCCCGCGAACCTGACGGCCTGGCCTTAGGCTCTCGGAATGTTTATCTCGGAGCTCGCAGGCGGATCGTGGGACTCACCCTCCACAAAGCCCTGAGTGCTGCAGCGGAGGCATACAAGGCAGGCAGGACCTCTCGTGATGATGTTTTGGGGGCTTCTCTCAATGTCGCTGAGCGTGTACTGTCCAAGCAGCAGTCGCTCCCCCCGTCAAAGCGGGCGCTGTACAAAGTTGACTACATCTCCCTCGCTGATTCCGAGAGTTTGGAGGAGCTCGACCTCGTTGATCCCAAGAAGGGAGCCGTTTTAAGTACTGCCTTTAAGATGGCCCCCCTGGAGGAGACTGAACCTGGAGAGGATTGCGGTTTGGGAGATGGAAAGGTTCCTGTACGGTTGATCGACAACATGATTCTCCAACCTCAGGCCTAATCGGGAAACCAATTGCAAGATGACATTTGTATATATACACCTGCTTCTCATTTAGCGTAAAAGTACATTTAAACATTGAATATACATTACTCATAACGAGTTGATGATCTAAATGCCTAGATCCCCCTCGATTTGATATCACTCTTAAAGGCATGTAGGGCAGGTCTGTAGGACTCGGGCCGAAAAAGTTCCTGACTCGACGGTGGCCCCAGTCGTGGACTAGGCCTCCAATGTCTGGATGCATGCTGTCAAGGATAAGGCCATTGGAGCAATCAACCGCGTCCAAAGAATAGGAGCGCAAGCGATTGTAGGGACATTCCTCACAACCAGTGTTGCGGAGGCCGAAGCCCACATTGCCACTGCACAAGACCGTTTCGGGAAACGAGCCGTGAAGATGTGGACGGATATGCACACCCTGCCAGAAACCAATCCTCTGCGCAGAAATACAGATCGGATCAGGAAGTTCAGACGATACCACCGCTCGCCGTTGTACCACGTAGCAGACGCGCTCAAGCACATCGAGATGGAAACACTGGAACCGATTAACCCATTTACGTTCGCCCCATAGGAGGAACGCGTGTGGACTAATATTCATAAATCTCAAGAGTTATAGACCGAAGTATGCGGAGCCATGCGGAGCCATGCGGATCGCGGTCAGCAGCTCGGCGCGTAACGAGTTGGTAGGATTTGGTGGAGCGATTGAAAGGCAGCCTCCTCGCTACCGAAAACTGAAACTGAAAGCCTTCTGTGCCATATTGGGCGTAAGATCAGAGCAGGACCCATACTCGGCGGAGCTAGCAGTAATATCATGCGCATTGAACACGCTACCGGGACTGAAAGGTTACAGGGCCACGCTGCTCACGAGAAACAAAGCGGCAGCACTCACGCTGGGAAATCCTCGACAGCAGTCGGGCCAGGGACATGTCTGCCGAGTTTACCGACTAATCAGGAAGCTCCGGAGAACCGGAAATCAGATCCACATCCATTGGGTCCCTGTCAATGAAGAGAACAAATTGCTGGGCCTGGCTAAACACAGGCCAGGACCGCAACCCAAGAGGACGCGCTCCTCCAAGCACAAGATCCTAGGATGAGGTCAACGACCCTGAACATCGCACAGTCACATGTAGCCTCTGTAGCCTCTGGCAAAGGCTTGCCAGATGATGTCGGGAAACACGTCAAACGAGTGGACATAGCACTTCCAGGAAAACACACCCGACACCTGTATGATTGCTTATCGTGGAAAGAAGCAAGCGTGCTGGCTCAACTTGGCATGGCAATGGATATCTCTATCAAATCAAGGTGGCAGACACGGATCAGTGTGTATGGGGACAAGGACCGTTGAGCACTTTCTCTTTCGATGTCGGAAGTGGACTGCACACCGGACGGAACTGCTACAATGTAGCAACACCCACGGAGGAAACATGTCCTTCCTGGGAGGGAAATTGCCTTTTGATGATCAGAAGTGGACGCCAAACTTAGAAGCGGCACGGGCCTCAATACGATTCGCCCTCGCGACGGGCCGACTCGACGCCACTTAACCATGCCGACGAACATAAAACGCCCCCTTTTGTCTGATCTAACTCACCAACCACCTCGTGCTACAGATGGTAAACGCGATTCAACTGCCGGAGATAGGATGTCGAACACTTTGAGAAGCGCCTTCAAGCCAGTCTACTAACAAAATAACTAACCCACGAGGACCCGCTTCAATTGTATCTGCTATTCGCGTTTCACAAATTCCTCATACTCCCCGCTCTATTCTTTGCCCAATTTTTACTTCGAAATGACCCTTGGCCCTGAGGTCGTTTTGAATTTGAAATAATATGGAAAACGCTTTGTTGCAAAACTTCAAGTATAGATAGAATCAACAGCTCCGAGTATCACTAAAGTGATCCCACAAACAGGTTGTTAGGTCATGATATTAATATATATACATCTACTCCGAGGTATCTGTGCACATGTTCCTAGTGAAATGACTTGTAGTCCCTGTATGACTGTAGCATCTGGTCCCAGTCTCACTGACAATAACGCTATGGCGATAATTATTAGGAGCCTCCAAAAGCCGATCCCGAATCCAGCCGCTATAGATAGGATCATGTGTCTCAATAGCCGCCATCTCAAGCCCCCACGAAAAGGGAGACATATATCTTTTGTCGTGGGTATAAGTCTCATATGCGATATGGAGTATGGTAGAGAGGGCTTCAATATGTGACACCTCCATAAGGCTATCTTGGTATAGCATGCGCCGATGAAAAAGCAGGAGACCTGAGTAGTACACCACCGCGAGCTGGGCTGTATAGAGAGCCCGACCCACAGGAGCACGGTAAGTTCGCTTTGCCATGATGAAGATGTCGTTGTAACTCTGCTTTTTGTAAGAACATAATATAGCAACGCAGGGTTGACAAATGGACAGAGCTGACCTGTCTCATATGCTGCAATCGACAAAAGATTTCATCCTCCGTAAGAGGCAATTTTCTATACTCTAGATCCGGTGTAGACCACATCTGACACACCCTGGAACGGAGAGAGAAAGATTCGTGTAGTAACTCAAGGGTGCGATAGTTTTCCAAGTCGTCCAACCATTCGTCTTGCGGGTACTCGCTCCCCCAGCACTGCAAATGAGCCTTTCGGGCAGTTCGGACAAGGAAACAGTCAGGACTTCTGACAGAATGATATAACTTAGTGATAAAGCTGTCTGGGACGGTGTGGAGACCGCTTCGGAGACTAATGTAGCTGCCATTAAGTCATTTTGTTGTCCGGATATAAGGTTGGGTGGGATAGGTAAATAAGCCTCACAATATCCAAACCAGCAGGAGTGCAGAGAGATTAGAGAACGGCTGGATCTCGGCTTCAGCCATCTCATTCTCATCTGATGGCAGCGACTTATTCCTGCCAAGGGCTGAAATGTAGTTTCCAGACTCCAGCAGAGCTTCAACACCCTTCAGGTGAACCGTAAGATGTTGATTGGAATAACCAAGCTTCAGCTCATAATGTGCCATCAAGAAGAGACAAGTGAGACTTGAGTCCAAGTCTGGCTTCACATCTTGATCGAGCAAGAGATTCAACTTGTTAAGTGCAATGCCATAATTTCGAGCCGCATGTTGCGAGGCCGGACGCAAATATGAGTGCCCCAGGTTCTGTAATTCACTCGCCGACGAAGCAATTATCATATACATTATGGCTGCATTCTGAGGAGCCAGTTTATGGTAGATATATGCAAGACAGCTCCATTTCCAGGGCTTTCCGGTCCAAGCGACAAGGTTTGAAGAAGAGAAGTATTCTAGACACTGGCGGTCTGTCGACGAAAGAAGTAAAGAATTCGCACACGGAATATGGCTAGTATCCAACACTGGGAATATTGGCCCTAAATGAATTGAATTGATCTCAACATGGGCATCTGGTGAAGGGACTATGCTGTAATGGGCGCACCTAGGATCCCCAGATGAGAGGGGTGACTCAGGAGAACCTTGGGTCTTATAGGCCGCGGGTGGGCAAACCCGCGTGCCGGTTGATTGTGTGACTTAGTCTGTTTAGGTGTTCGCATTGTCCGCTGCTTTCGGATTTGAGGAATCCAGCTGCATGATAGAGTCAAACGATGACAAGTATTGCAAATTGGACGCCGTTCGTCGCATTTTACCTTGCGTTCTCGACAGGTGGTGCAGCCTGTCCTTGATCTTTGTGGCATGGATTGCGTAGTCTTCGCGACGAGGGAAATATAACGTTCTGGTGCGTACGCAGCCAAGAGGGAAAGAATCATTGAAGTGTAATGAGGATTAAGTAGTAGACCAAAACATGTGGGGGTGTGGATGTGGAGAAAGAAGCAGAGAGAAAAGCGAGAGAAAGAAGGGTGTACGAAGATAAGCCTCATCGGACGAAACGAGACTAGTTGCGGGGAGCCGTAAACACAACGATAAGCGTTTTCCCCCTGATTTGCCCATGGTGGACCGGCTTCCCTATTCCTGAACCAGGCTACGGCATAAAATTTGATCCGTTTTTAATGTAGGCTGAAAAATACGCTGGAGTTTTAAACACAAAGTTGGCTAGGCCAGCAAAGCACTAGAAACAGACAAATAAATGATTGATCATAGGTATGGTATGTACGGCGTCAAACAGACCTTAACGTGGCCAAGGCTGAATAATTGAGCACTACGGAAGGTCCAAACAAGACCATATGACTTCTCTTAAGTTCTGGCCATCTCCTTTTGCCAATCTGAGTACACTGCCTGGAACACTTCATCTTTCGTGGCGACATCAAATCCTACCAGCGCCAATGTCTTGCCAGTAATGATTGCACTTTCATAAGCTGCATCAGTTCCTGCTGCATCAGTGAAGTTGGCACTATGAGGTGATACTCCTTTCGCACATGGAATTCCAAACAGAGCATGCAATGCCGGAACGACATAGCCGACATTTCCTTCCGTTAATTAGCATCATGATTTACGAGGTACATTGGAGTAACATACCGACGTCGGATGAGCCCGAGGCAACCTGATCCCGAATTTTGAGCACACCCTTCCCATACGCCGCAATAGTCTCCTGATATCTCTCACACAGTGACTCATTCACCGTGACATCTGCATAGTATGGTTCTCTGTTTTCAATTCGTCAGTGCCCGTAAGTTTCAAGTCTGTCAGCCATGAAAGGTAAACGTACTTCTGAATATCAACCTCACACCCCGTTGCCGTTGCTGCAGCCTTCGCGCAGTTAATGACCCGCTCCACTAGTGCCTGTAGCCCATTGAGATCCAGACTGCGGGCCTGAAGTGCCACTCGCGCCTGAGCTGGGATCACGTTGATAGTCTTCTCGCCATCTAGAAAGACCGCATGTATGCGTTCATCAGGAAGGATTTGCTGCCGCAAAAGGGAGATGTTATTATATGCTGCAACTGCTGCATCGAGTGCATTAATTCCCATCCATGGAGTTCCTCCTGCGTGGGTATTTTTCCCTCGGAACTCGACCTCGATATACTGGCGTGCGATCATTCTACAACCTGCCACTCCTTCGATTCCGGCAGCCTTCTGCTCTGCATAAAGAGGGCTGGGATGACTGGGCAGAGATTCAGCATGTGAGCTGGTTGGACGAGGCGTGAGAAAGAAATAGTGAATACATACGCCATCAAAGAAACATCTACTCCCTTGTACGCTCCACCATCCAGAAGCATAATCTTGCCACCTTTTCCTTCTTCATCCGGGGTGCCGAGGAGCTGGGTCCGACCTGGGATGTTGAATTTCTTAAAGACGGTAGACAGGGCATGGAAGGCTGCAATCGAGCTTGTGGCTATGAGGTTGTGGCCACATGCGTGCCCGATCCCAGGGAGACAGTCGTACTCGGCGTTGTAGTTGATAAGTCTCCCACCAGAGCCACTCAGAACCTCAAAGGCAGTTTCTATTCCATAAGCATGGCGCTTTACATCATAACCCAGAGACTCGAAGAACAGACATATAGAGTCATGCGCAAGAACTTCTTTTTGACCAAGCTCAGGGTTCGACCAGATCTGATCGCTAGTTGTCAGCATTTAATTTCTCAACGAGTCCACCCAGCCGGAAATGAGAGATCATACAGTTCTGTTTAGTTCTTGAAGATGCTTTTCGACTGCTTCGATAGCAGCATCTACCTCTACCTGAACTTCCTGTGCAGAAAGTGGGCTCCGAGAAATATTGCCCATTTTGGTTTTGTTTTCGTGCCTGTTTTGCGCCTGCGTTTGATCCGCCTGTTGTTTAGATTTTGATTGACGCAAGATTGCCACTGCTTCTTATATCCTTTCTTTTGAGGCATACTCGGCTGGGTGATAGCATAAGCATAATCGGTGGTAGCATAAAATTAATCCCGCTATTTGAGGCCTAAATCAAAAGCGGCTAGAACAACGATAAGACCACTGGCACTAAAACGTGACCCTTCATCTGATTGGACATCTTTACTGCCGACCGCAGACTTTGATTGGATGGACTCAAGACTTCTAACCGAGAACCAATCGACTGCCTAAGCTAGTATTAGAACTCACAGTATCAGAGCACGCTCATGACCTTGACATGATTAAAGTTGATATTATAACTCTATACACGAATGAGCTTTCATTTTCATTTTTTTCGCGGGATAAGCAATCAGAATTTCCCTATCAAGGATCGACCAGACCATTCCTTGTATCTATCTCAAAATCTCTGAGGCACGGTTAGTCCTCGCCTCCCGTTGCCCAGAACAACATGGTGTTTCTGAATTTTCCTTCATATCTAATCAGTTGTTAGATAGATAGGGTTTACGTTGACTTTTTTAGTCTATCCTGGCCTGGGCCAGATAATCTAGCGCCGTCTTTCGAGTTTGAAATGAACCAATCGTGTCGAGCTTTCACAGAGCTCACATTCATAGCACGGCAGCAGCCATAGAACTTCCTTATGATAAGAAAATATAAGGAGCGAGAAGAAGATAGGGAAATCGGTATTACTTTACTCATGATAGGCGAAACGCTACACTTCGATTCTCATTAAAAATCTTATTTGTGAGAGTATCTAAAAGAGGGAGCGAGTCCTCTCGATCATTTATCAGAAAGTTCCCTTTTGTGGAACGACTCGTAACCATGGCCGATATGTTGAAGACACCGGATATTTCAGAAGCCTCAAAGAAGAACAACAATGATACCGACTTGGGAGAAGTCTGGGAAATTCTTGATCCTGCGGAGGAGCTGAGGCTTGTGAGAAAGATTGATTTCAGGCAAGTAATAACTCCCACATGGTGCAATGAGTTCTATTCATAGGCGAAAAAATAACATAATTCGAGAAAGCCAGAATCCTTCCTTTGATGCTCGTTGCATACATGCTGCAATTTCTCGATAAACAGACATTGAGCTCATCTACAATTATGGGCATAATAACAGACCTCAAATTGCATGGCTTTCAGTATAGCTGGGCTTCGAGCTGCTTCTATTTTGGCTATCTTTTTGCAACATACCCGGTTTCGTTGATCTTAATCAAGTTTCCGCTGGGAAAATCCCTCTCAATCATGTTGTAGGTTCCCAGTATATCAAATCATTGAAATTCGAACTGGCGCTGATTTATTATTTGATCACAGTTTGATTTGGGCCATTATACTTGCGTGCCATGCTGCGACCAAGAACTTTGCGACACTGATGGTCGCACGGTTCTTCCTCGGTATTGCCGAGGCGAGCATCTCGCCCGGATTTAGTCTGATCACATCACTCTGGTATCGGACCTCAGAGCAGCCATGGAGGCACGGTCTTTGGTTCTGCGGAAATTCAGTCTCATCGGTCTTCAGTGGACTAATCGGATATGGAATCTATCATATCCATGATAGTCTAGCTTCCTGGAAGGTTCGTGTTGTTCCCGCACCTTCTATAATGATCACGCGACCTTGTTCATTGCTGATTGATTTAGTGGCTCTTCATTATTTTTGGTATTTTGACATTTGTGTGGGGGCTCGTCCTATTATGGCGCTTGCCTGATAGTCCGCAAAATGCTAAATTCATCAGTGGAAAGGAGAAGAAGATCGCTATACACCGATTGAAGGCTAATCAAGCAGGTTTCAAGAGCAATAAATTAGAGCTTTCTCAGATAAAAGAGACTCTTCTCGATTATAAGACTTGGCTTGTTGCTGTCTACTCTCTTACTACAAATATCCCTAATGGGGGAAGTTTAGCTGTGAGTGAACTCCGTGGATAAATATACGGTATAAATCCTCTACTGATAGTATTTTTAGTTCTCTTCATTGATTCTTGAAGGATTTGGCTTTTCGGTTCTAAACACTTTCTTGATGGGAATTCCAATAGGAATAGTTATTTTTGTGTTTGTTCTTTCCTCGTGAGTACCCTTCTATACATATTGTGATTTGTAAATCTGATTTACTGGATTTATTCAGAACATACCTATCTTCAAAGCTGCCGAATGCTAGGTGTCTGATAATTGCAGCGGTCAATATTATCAGGTTTGTAACCGCCCTCCTAAGTTTACTGTATATACCCTAGAGATAACTAATCTTGAGTTTTCGCGGCGCTCTAGTATTACTGGCGCCGTTATTATCTATACTTGCGACACTATTGGAGCGAAATACGCTGGACTTTGCCTTATGCAAGTCTTCTCTAGTGGCATGCCTCTCTCAATGGCTCTGGTTAGCTCTAATATAGGAGGCTTCACAAAACGAGCCACCGTGATCACAGTTTTATTCACGTGCTATTGCGCTGGAAATATTATCGGTCCTCAGCTATTCTTCGCTAGGGAGGCCCCTCGCTACAAGGTAATTACCCTAATCTCTCTAAAGCTCGTCATTGACCCAGGCTAAAACTGAACAGTCTGGCTTCCTCGCTATAATAATATGCTTTGCGATATCCACTGTGACCATCCTCGTTCTTCGCTATTTGCTAATTTTTGAGAACAACAAGCGAGATCGCACGTCCGTTCCGGTGGAACAAAGGGAAGAACTACGCTTGGCAGACTTAACAGATATCGAAAACAAAAATTTCCGATACGCTTATTAGGTCCAGCGCTGCTATGTGTTATATCATTTCTGGTCAAGTTAGTGCTCTCGTGGAGGTTTGGCGAGGGGCAGCCTGCTCTTGAAGTTTAACAATATCATAGAATATATGCCAGCGCTTATACCCGTTGATAGCGACGGCGTAATTCTTAGATTTCATCGCGGCCAAAATTTGATCGAATCAAATTTAGCCGTGCAGCACCCACTGATGCAGCAAACACCGGGTTAACCGATTTCTTGTATTTATCGACGACCGCAGTATTGATACCAGGCTGCTGCTGCTTGCTCAAAACATCTTTGAGCACGTCGTGTAGAAGCTGGTCCTGTAATGATTGACCTAGCAAGATCACGTTGCTGAGTGACTTGAGCATCTCACCGTCGTATTCGATGGGCAACTCGACGATGTCTCCAAACTCCCTTGTGAGCTTAGCCCGATAATTCCGAGGTGATTCTTGCGACCCAAGTTGGGTTTCATGTAATATACGCAAATCTTCATATACCCCGCACTCTTCGAAAACCAACAGGGCGGTCAAATTGGAACGTGAATAACTTACGCACGAGTCGCTCGACCGAATCAGTTCCAGGTTGCAACCTTTGTGATGGCTCTTCTTCCACCCACTCCCCTACAAATTTTCATATTAGCCAAACCCTGTGTATAGCATTAGTGCAGTAATTTACGAGTGCAGTGATGTCTGATAGTAAATAGGCGAAGCCGCCAACGATTCCACCGCTTCTATCAAGGCCGTTAGAGGCTCTCTCAAGTTTGAACCAGCCAGAGAACCTTCGTATTTTGCAATGGTGTTCCTCAAATGAATTTTAATCAGGTGTGTGACTGAAACGATTACTTTAATTCAAGTTCTTCTCCAGTTCGCATTTTTCCTTCCATTCCCAATCTTCCTGTCCAAATCCACTAAATTTACCTAAGGGTCTTCGATCATCATACGGCCTCTGCTAAAATGTCTCCCGATGTTCGGCTGCTCTAGGGCCTGCTAATCTCTCCCACAGTCGATGACATCCCTCCGAGCACGCGACCTCCACCCAGGCAAAGGATTGCAGAATCTTGACAAAACATGCGTATGATGTGATCTTTAACCCCAGACATAGGCCTTTAACATGTTTAGTGAGCCGGCAATGCTCTGGTGTGTTTTCTGCCGCGATGGCTGCTACGGTCGCACACCAAAGAAGCAACGGGTTTGATACGGTCTGCGTTATTCGGTCGAGCCTTTCTGTGAGAAGCGGAAGGATCGTTGCACGGAGTAGGGCAGACCGCGGCAGAGGAAAGGTAACATGCGTTGCATATAAACTTGCTGCTAATCGGCAAGAAAAAGCTCATAAGACACAGAGAAGTCATCAGTAGACAGGTCACGTATCTCAAGAACAGTTTCTAAGGGGTCGCGTTCGTCAGGCAGGCCGAACAGGGTGTGGTGGACTTGATTGCGAAAATCAGCGAAACGGTCGCAATCCGATGGATCGAGTTGTTGACAGTAGCGCCATTGTAACATTGTGGAATATAGGCTGAGGAGGTTAAATGACTCCACAATAGTGTCTTTTACTGGCGGGTGAGAGGACTGTAAGTCCCTGAAGCCGAGTTCGATCTTCTCGGACGGGTCGGCCGGGAAGGGAAATGCGCGCAGAGGAGGTGGGAACAGAGTCACGTTGCCTTCAACATCAACTATTGGGAAAAGTGGTTTGGTTAGAGAATGGGCAGCGTTCATGAGATCCGCACTAGATATTCTTAGTAGCTGATTCGGCATGCTTGGCGGGCTAGAACCTACATTGAGATAACCAGCCTAGGGCAAACAGCTTAATAGACTGGATACCACCAGGTAGGTAGCGGAGCATATTATAAATGACAATCCAATGCAGGGTGTGATAGTCCCGGCTGCCGTAGAATGACAGCGATTGCATGTCCACGAATGGCGGGGTGAACGGGTTCGGATCGCGGCTGTGGTCTCGTCTTCAGGTCTCGTTAACAGCCAGATACAAGATCGCCATAATGACCCCATCCCGCCATTCTTCTTTGGCAAAATCAGTCACCTGCTCGCGTAGTAGATTGAGGATGCGCCCCTTGTAGTATAGCTGGTCCTTGATGTCTAGCACTGGATTGGACCCGTAGCTGATACGGAGGACGTCACGATGGCAGGATGTGCACCATAGGACACTGTAAATCAAGAGTCTGTTGTTCCGAGTGGGTGCTACCCAAGACTGGTAACATTTTCTGGCGTAATCTCCATGGCGAAAATTCGGCCAAATATTAATGAGTGCTGGAAATGTCTTGTTAGGGATCCCTCTAGCAAGGCAATCAGATTCGCACGAAAAAAATTTCACTGACCATGCTGGAGTAGGCTATCCACATCCGGCCCCAGGTTCGAATCCACCGATGAAAAGGGGTCTGGCCTGCTGGAGATAAAATTCAGCGACAGAGAGGCTATACTGTGATGCGTCTGGTGAAACGTCCGAAATCTTCGGCAGGTGACACACAAGCTGAAGAATGGCTGGTCATTGGTTCGCGTTTGCGCAACCGTTGGCTTTTCTCTGGCGTCCTAATTTTGGGCCTGAACCCTGACCATTTCACGACAGGTACACCAATGGGCTATTAAGTCCCAATCACGCTCCTGGAGTTGAACGATCAGTTCTTGCCTTTTATCTTCTTCCTCTCGTCTATATATACTCCGTTTTTCCAAGGTTAGACGCCGAATCAAAGCTGAGCGGGTATTACGGGTTCCAGAGTTACCTGCTCGGCCTAGAGAAGGGCCATCAACGAACAAGAATTGCGGCGCCTTAGAGGTATCCTGACTCATGACGAAGTCAATTTCGCATTTTCTGGTCTGCAGATCAGGGTCCTCGGAGGGTCGTAGCGGGGTATTTATCTGGCCAATTGGCGCAACAACAGCGAAGCGATGGCTCAATGATCCGTCACGTGATAATCATGAGCGGGTCACTAGCAGTGTCTCCGCCCACCCACACCGCTTCGCGTTGTGGGTGTGCCACACCCTAATGCATAACCACACCCTAATGCATAATCTTTCCCACCACCCTATTTTTTGCTTCTCTATCCAACACCACTATCTAAATATGCCTAAAATTGATGAATCTCGTATGGCTGAGGCCTGCCTAGCAGCGTCACGCGAAGAGAAGCCGAATATTGCGCGTCTAGCACGCGAATTTGGTGTTAATCAAAGCACTCTCTATCGACGTGTTAAAAAGGGAACAGGGCCTCGTATAGCTAGAAGCGGGAACGGATACGCTCTAGAAGCCTATCAAGAAGAGGCCTTAATTCGCTGGATCCAATATATAAACGATTGCTATATGCCTATCACTCCTAGGATACTAGAAGCGTGGGCGAATCGTGCATACTAACGCGTCGGGAAGCCGCCGATTAGCAAGATGTAGGCGTATCGCTTTATTAATAGGCTTCCTAAATATCTTCAATTAGGGCCTACTAAGTAGTATACGAAGGAATCAAAGCGAATCCTAGCAGAAGATCTAGCAGTATTACAATATTAGTACGATCTTTTAGCCTAAACAATCAAGAAGACTACACTAGCACGCTTAGTCTACAACTTTAATAAATACGGCTTTTAACTAGGCGAAGGAAGATCTAGAAATATTATATCTTCTACTACTACTACTACTACTACTACTACTACTAGTAGTAGTAGTAGTAGTAGTAGTAGGAAGATAGTAGATCTTCCTTAGCTAGACCAAGGCGAAAATATAACGACTATCGAGTATATCGCTGCCGACGGGTAGTAGTTAGAACCTTGGTTTATATTTAAAGGCAACAGGATCTTTATAGAATCTTAGTTTAATCAAATAGAAGGCCTACTACTATATACTATAATTACTATATCGCTAAACGGTTAGATAACCGACGATATAGTAGTTTAGTAGCTTCGATTCTTTATAGAATTAACACGCGACCGTACGAAATCGGGTGAAAAACGTATCCTAATCTTCGACGGTCACGGTTTATATCTTATATTCGAATTCCTACACCTTTACGAAGAGAACGATATCCTACTAATAGGATTTCTACTATATACTATATATCTTTACTAACCGCTAGACGGTAAGCCGTTTCTAAGCTATAAGCAATACTTCTACTTAGCGAATAACGACCACGCGTTTTAGGGTAGAAGCCCTATCGGAAGATCGGAGTTCCTTCGAATAATCGGTAATATTCGGAATAGAGCGTTTAGCTAGCGAATTATTCGTGAATCGTTTAAAGATTATAGGATCTATCTAGTCGATAGTAGAAAGGTTATTAATAGCCTTCCTATCTAAGAAATCCTAGATCTCCTAGCGCTAGATCTACAACCGCTTTATATAATAACACCTTCACTACTACCTATATCTTCTTCTAGTATCGACTAATCGCCGCCTAGATCTATATAGGATCTAGAAAAGAATCAAAGGAAGATTGCTAGATATTAAGAGGATCTTACACTAAGGCAGCAACGTAATCTTAATCGTGTGTTTTATTATAATAAGATTACTATAGAGAACCTAAATCTAGCGAACGATACTATTCGCAAGATTAGGGAAGCTCAACAACCACTACAGCGCCTAATTACTAAGCGCTAGGTTAAAACACCGCTTAGCAAAACAGGGGTTCTCTCTATTAGAGATACTAATCGTTCTATTGCTAAAAGAAAGGAGAAGGAAGCGGATATAGAGCGGAAGCGGGTAAGGAAGCAGTGGAAGAAAATATATAGAATATCACCACCACTAGAACCTACACAGGAAAGCCTAGCATCGTTAGATAGAGCAGAGGAAGCACGTCAGAACGGGCAGGGTTTCTTTCTAGATACTAGTAGGATACAGCGATAGATAGGGGAAATAGGAAATATTATATATTAGGGTGTGGTTATGCATTAGGGTGTAGCACACCCATAACGCGAAGCGGTGTGGGTGGGCGGAGACACTGCTAGTTAGTTAACGTAATTCACGGCCGATCGGGCCACACGGTAGTGCGGGCCACCCTAAAACACATAGTTAATGCGATAAAATACAACTTTATATCTTAACAACCCTTTGAATTTAAGACTAAATATTAAGTATGAATAAAATAAAGAGTGTGAATAACCTACCTACATGGTAGAAAAAGATACAACTAAGGATTAAGAGAGATATATATATTTGAATCTCAAACATCAAAAATACGCTGTATTTTATGGTAAATGTTAGAGAATAACTACTTGTACAGGGTAGAAAGCCTGTCGACTAGGTAGGAAGATAAACGTCAAGTAAGGAAAGCAAAACACTGTTTCTTGCTATCATGGATCTCTCTATAATCCTCAATTTATGTACAAGCTTCAACACTTTCCCTTATAACCAAAGCAAAGACGATGGATCATATTACAACATGCAGTCTGACGTAGCCTATATGTAACAGAGGTAAGCAAAGGCTACAGGGAAGAGGGGTTCAGGAATCCCTAATAGAAGGGCACCGAACCCTCAGGGCCTTATAGGTCATGCATCTATGTTAGGGAGAAGTGGGGCTGTTATGACGAAGCCTGACCGATAAGGTGTCGAACTGACACCTGAGGCGTGAAGTTGGGAATAGCCTCATGTTGCATTATCATATGACAGCAGGGTTCGGAAAAGTGTCTTTCTATCCTTTGACATGGAAGCCAATAATAGGCGTCACTGTGGATATGGTTATCGAGATACGATGTTCTAACTCATTGCATAGCTACGTGGTTGAAGGCGATCCGCGCGGCCGTTGATTACATTAGTACTGTAGCAAAGGTACATATGCCTGTTAGGAGCATCTCCGCCGAGATTTCCGACCACAGCCGAGGTTGAATTCGGAATATGATCCGAAGATACGGAATGCGCTCCGAACTTTTCCAAGAGGCCGCATACTTAGAAGATTTCCAGCGAGAGGAAAGATTAAGGTAAACTTCGTCAAGTGCTTTTGCAGATAGGGGAGACCCTATTTAATGTGGCTGTACCTGGTCCCAGTTTTGCCTATCCGAACAAGTTGATCAATGATTGAAAAAGTTGACGTTCTCATCTGCGGCAGTGGAAGCGCAGGTCTCTGTGCTGCAACCTGGCTCGCTCGCCATGGAATCCGCTGCAAGATTCTAGAGCGGCGTGACTGTCCTTTAGCCCTGGGCCAAGCAGATGGTGTACAATGTCGTACCGTTGAAATATTCGACAGTTTTGATATCGGTGACGAGCTCTTACGTGAGGCCTACCATGTCCTCGAGGTCGCATTTTGGGCAGAGCAAGATGCCAAGGGAAATGTCATCAAGCGAATGGGTAGGACAGCAGATACCCAACCGGGACTGTCGCATCAGCCCCATGTCATCTTGAACCAGGCTCGTATCAACAATCTCTTGATTGAGGCAATGCGTCGGTTCAACAACCAAGATATCGACTACGGTTATGACATCAAGCACCTCGAGGTAGACAGCGAGCAGGCCAAGGATCCTCTGGCTTATCCTGTTAAGGTAATCGCTAGGAAGAATGGTCAATTGGTAGAGTTTGAAGCTAAGTACGCGTTGGTAGGTGGAGCAAATAATTCTGCCAGTGTGCTATTTTACTAACAAAGAACAGGCTTGCGATGGCGCCCACAGTATAGTCCGTCGCGCTTTAGACTTCAACATGCTGGGTGACAGCAGTGATGCGGTTTGGGGCGTCATGGACATGGTGCCTCGAACAGATTTCCCGGATATTAGGAAAAAGGCGACTATCCGGTCAGGGGCAGGAAATTTGCTAATCATTCCTCGGGAAGGTGATGCCTACAACCTGGTTCGATTTTATATCGAACTCCCGAGAGGAACAAAGCCAGGACGTGTTAAGCTCGAAGATCTACAAAGTACTGCTAAGCATATCCTTGGGCAGTTCAAGGTAGAGTTTGTGGAGACTGTGTGGTGGTCTGCCTATTCTATCGGACAGCGTCATGCCGATAATTTCCACAAACATCATCGTGTTTTTCTCGCTGGTGATGCTTGCCACACGCATTCACCTAAAGCTGGCCAGGGTATGAACGTTAGCCTGCAGGATGGCTATAACATTGGCTGGAAGTTAGCGTCTGTCCTGAAAGGCTTATCGACACCATCATTACTGGAAACCTACGTTCTAGAGCGGAAAAAAACAGCCATTGATCTTATTGAATTTGATCGCTACTTTTCTAAACTGTTTTCTTCAACAGAAAAAACATCACCTGAGGACTTTCAGAAGGGGTTTATTCAGTCTGGAAAGTATACTGCCGGTCTGACTGCGAAATACGACTTGTCACCTATTACTTCTACTATGGATGAGACAGCACAGCTCGCCACTAACGTGATCGTTGGAATGAGATTACCTAGCTCTCAGGTTGTGCGATACTGTGATTCGAAGCCAGTGCAACTTATGGACTCTCTCAAGTCAGACGGCCGCTGGCGGGTGATAACTTTCGTGGGTGACTTGCAGCTGGCCCAGAATAAAACGAAGTTAGCAAACGTATGTATCTAATTAACCAGGTATTCTGTTGTAGCTCATGCTTACTGATATATGATATAGATCGACAAGTATTGGAGTTCTAGCAAAAGTCCAAGCCATCGATTCACCCCCTCGGGTGATGATGTTGACAGTTTGATTGAACTGATCTTAGTGGCATATGGAAATCGCCATTCCATAGAGCCGGATGACATTCCTTTATCTTTCTCTCCCTTATCAGGGAAGCATAAGACCCGGGATCTTCATAAGATACTCTTCGATGATGAAAGTTATGACAAGGCTCATGGTCACCTGTACGAATACCTTGGCATCAGTCCTCAGAAAGGAACCTTCATTATCGTCCGCCCTGATCAGTGTAAGGAACCCACTCTTTAAGTGCTTATTTGTCGCTGACGGCTTTTCCAGATGTCTCCGCTGTTCTACCTGTAGAAAGGTTCGAACAGATTGGAACCTTTTTTGACGGGGTTCTAATTGCTTCCCACAAAGACCAAGCCAGATTGTAAATAACGGGTAGAGATTTTCTTTTGCGGACCAAAACGTCACCTTTCCCTTAGTAGCTAGTGCAGTGGGGGACTGCTGTCGCTTTTCTGGTATATCCTACTCTGCCACATTTGCCCTATATGTACTGTTCGTCTTGTTTGATTACTTGGGAAGAAGTTTGGATGCAAGGGAGATCTCAGACTCTCGAAATTACTTAGATCCGGCCTGTTGAATTAAAATATCAAATGGAACTTAAAATCGCAAAATCTCAATATCGAGCTTGGCTTATAATGATAACGATTATCTACTGTTCAACTATTTATTATTCAACTATTCAAAACCGTCGAACGACACCGTGTGATATCGACATTGAGTTATCCATCCACTGCCGTCGAGTTCGCCGTTCGGAATCATCTGGAACTCTTTGAGATCGTTCAGATACACGCTTCGATACCATCCGCATATGATGAGCGGAACCTGAAGTTGCCGTGGCTTTCGCTGGATGACCAAGGCGCGGCTCCGAATTTAGCTTCAGCGATGACTTAGGGCTCGAAGTCGACGTAGAAATGAGGGCAGATGCTGGTGAACAAATCAATTTGGAGACCAACATCGAAATTTGATTCATATTCAGTAGGTTCCTGCAGAAAACGGCTAGAAAACTGAACATTTCGGGTCTCTTCCGAAAATTTCGGGTCTCTTCCGGAGTGTTTTCATTTTTGGAGTACGGTCTCCACCGGAATACCTTCCTCAGTCATGCATAACAGCAAGCTGATACAGTATGGCATTATATGTGAGAATAGGGCTAGTTTACCAAGGGGAACGAGTTCAACACGATGAGAGAAATCAAGCTGAAGAAAAGAAGGGAAGAGCGGATGGAGCGAGGACATATTAGGGAGTCCTTGCTTACCTAGTAGGGAGTGCCGAGCTGGAAAGCACCGATCCTTATAGTGCCAATAATCCCCTAGTATAAAAAAATAAAACACGACCCAAATGAAGCTAATCTATTTCAGGTGCATCTCACCACCTCATGATCCTCAAAATCGACTAACGAGTTCATTCGGTCGGGGTTTGCCTCCGGGACAGACCCACATTTTATCGCCTCCGGTGGCTCGGCGAAGACATGGAACGACGCACAAGCTTGATACCAATAGGCAAAAAGTGCCATACAAGGCTTGCTTGGAACGGAGAACTAAGAATTATTTCGTATGAAACCCCACTTTCTGCTCTAAAGAATTGCCTTGAAGAATGTAGACAGTCCTACCTCAATCAATCAGTCTGTTGTTGAAGCTTGATAGCCATACTTTACTCCAAACCCTCTAGACCAGGTAGGCTCCAAAGCCAAAGTGCTGAAGAGATAACTCAAATTCAAACAGAAGAAAAATATGACCGTGCATCGGAAAATGAGGTTTCGGGTCGTGGCTGTCAACGATTGGCTGGGCCATGACAAACGTGTCCCTGAAAATTTGGGACCTGCCTGGCTTTTTAGGTTGGTTTAGTTGCATACATCCAAATGGAGCTGTGTATAACCCGACTATAGTCTGCTTAGAATCAGCTCGATAGATCCGCATTATCTACATAATGCTCCATCACCCCGCAGGTCGATTGAATCTCATCAACAATGCAGGTATCCTCGCTATGCTTTCCCTCTTGGTATTTGTCAGGACAAATCCGTCTTTCCCGGCATCTGTGAGGCCGAGGCTTAGGAAGCGGGGATGGGCTCAAGTGAGGGTCCCCTTCGGTGGGTCACCGGACTTGGACTTTCGATAGCTCGAATCGTAGACCGAGTCTCCGAGTAGAAGGCTGGTTTTACTTGTAGGACCGAGGTAACTAGCTTGTGCTAGCACTATAGGGCCCCAGACTCTAGGTCTTTTCCCCTCTACGATTTCTAACTGTGAATTCCGAGTACGGAAACAACTTTTTACCTTACTATTGGCCTCCTAGGGCTGATAAATGACGAGGGATACCCGAGCCATTAAATCTTTTAGTGGTCCATGACCTATGTCTCAAGGGTATATAAATACCTAGGGAGGATCCCGCCTTGTGTAGCTCTTTATTTATCAATCTTCACCAGTCGATCGCTACTTGCTTCAGGGACGGTTTCTGCTCCGTTTCTTCACTGTCCTTTCCTGTTTCTTCCTTCTCTGTTCTTTCGACTCTCCTTTTGGGATATTTATTCCCAGTCCATTCCTTCATATCAATACTTCTAAAAGCCATTGACCATATACTCGCTATTGCGACTCTGAAACACTGTCGAACTCGAATCTCAACGCTTGTCGTCAACGATGCGTTTCGACATCATTTTGCTCACCTCCCTGGCGAGCTCTGTTCTCTCTTACCCTGCAGAAGTCGACATTCAGCGCCGTACTCCCGGTCTCTTGACCCATACTATCGGTAATGCTGCTTCTGATGTCACCGGATCGGTTGGCTCCATTAGCTTTAACGGTTCCACCACCGTCCTGGCTGGGCTAAGTGCTCACGGTGCTGCCGCTCTGGAGGGGGGTGCTCTTGGATGCACTGCTGGGAATATTCACGTTAGTGCTCGTGCTGAGCTGAAGGGATGGCTGGCTGGCCAGACCCAAATCTCAGGACCCCTGAAGAATTCTTTGATCACTTGGTGTGAAGGCTCCGGATCTGCTACCCTAAGCGCCGATGTTATTGCTGCTCTGTCGGTCTATATTCCTACTTGCGCCGACATTGCTGCCAGTAAATCTATCTATGTCACCGTCGATGGTATCTTTTCGTCGAGCGAGCTCTCGTCGACTCTCGTTCTGAGCGCCTCTGCTCAAGCTTCTCTTTCTACTTTCCTTGACGTTCACGCTCACGTTGACCTTGGCACCCATATCCATGCTGGTCTCAGTGTTTGTGCTGCAGGCGGTGTTATTGCCGGCTTAGGGGCTGATGTCAAGGCTTCGCTCGTTGCTTGGTTGAACTCCTCCGATTGTACACTCAATGCAGCACTTAAGGCCTCTGTCATCGGCTGGTGCCACGGCACCCACGTCAGCGGACTTGTCGAGATCGGGAGTATCTCCAGCACTGCACTGCCTGCCATCTCCGTCGGTGCCTCTATCGGCGCTTACGTCGAGGAGGTCGGTGCTCTCTCAGTCTACGCCCAGGATATCCTCGCTGCATTCCTAAACGCCAAGCTAGCCGTTGACATTGACGCCGATATTCTCATTGCCCTCCAGACTTGTGCTGCTGGCAAGCGCGCCGCCGCCCTCGATGTTGACGTTCGCACCGCTCTCGCTGTCTGGCTGACCGGCTCTAGCTGCCCTCTCGGAGTCGAGATGAAGGGCGTTGTTCTGCTCTGGTTGTCCGTTTCCGCCTCAGCCGAGGCCTCCCTCGTCCTTGTTAGTGGCCTCTCCGTTGATATCTCCGACTTCCTGACCGATACTATCGTTACTTCCCTGAGCATCAACCTCCGCAGTGCTCTCGGCCTCCTCGCTGCTGGTGAGAGCGCTGCCGTCCTCTCCTGGGATGCTCGTGCTGAGCTGGCTGCCTTTCTCGGTGGTTGCACGGGAATTGAAATCAGCGTCAACATTCAGCTCATTATAATCGAGTGGTTCACTGGTTGTAGCATTCCCGGTGCTCCCGCTTCATCTGCTTCTATCCCTAGCTTACCATCTGCCACTCCTATCGGTGTGTCCAGCACTAATCTGGTTCCCTCTGGCTTCATCACCACTGCTTCGGTTCCATCCATAAGCATTCTCCCCAGTGGTATCCACACCGGCTTTGCAGGTTCGGTCTCCGCCTCCGTTCCCTCCGGTCCCGCTTCTACTGGCACCGCTGCCGGCAAAGATGCTTCCTCAACTGCTTGCAACACCAAGAACTCCCCAGCTATTGCTTCGACTGTTATCTTTACCGGTCCCTCTGAAAGTGCTCCTACTGGTAGCTCCCAGGCCGACTCTGGCTCGCCTGGAAACGGATTGTCTGCCTCCAGCTCTAGCGAGACATCACGGGCTTCGTCCACTGTTGGTGCGCCAGCTCCCACTATAGCCCCTATTGGCTCCGTGTCGGGCTGGTTCTCCAGCTCCTGGACCGAGACCGTCACCATTTACCACACAGTTTACGCTTGCGAGTAAGCGGCTACACGATTTGCGAGGGAAAAAGGAAGGGACTTTGATACCCCCTCTTCGACATGGCATTGCCTTTGGGCCTTTCTCATTCCTGGATGACCATTTGACACTCGATCCAGCGGTGTGCCTTGTAGCTGTCCCTTCACGCACAGACTTCCCCGATAGACTGCTTCCTATTTTTCATCTATTTGGCGACTCTCTATTGTTCCTATCTGTATACATCAATTACAATCCTAATCTGCTGTGGAAGATTCATGATGACCCGTTTTCTGTATGCTCTTCTCAAGTAGACTGTTATTTTCGAGGCTTAGTGAAATCGGTTGGGTGATGTCGAGGAAAGCACACTCGATATTTACACCCGCAAATGATTGGTTGGCCGATCATTTGCTCTCGTATGTAGTCAATTGTCAATGATGTGAGTTTCTATTCTCAATTCCGTCCTTGTTAGCGAGGAGAACCCAATGCGTCTTAACACATAACCAATTTTGTAGAATCTTGATTAATCATGTTGTGATGAGCCTGTCGCTCAGGAACGATGCGGCACATTCGAAATGATTCCTTCCCAGATATACAAAGATCAAGTTCATTTGAAAAAGCCTTCGACTTCCCACTGTATGTATAATCTCTTTGTATTCCACTGGAATACTATTAAAGGCTTCCTCACAGTTCATAACAAATCATTCAACCTATCTGGGTTCGTTCCCCCGGTTATCATTTTTCAAAAACTACATTAGCAGGTAAGATCGGACAACCTGCTGTCGGATGATAATAAATGCAATTGATTTTGAAAGAGGCTAGCCCATCTTGCTTTGGCAGTGGGTCCGCTCATAAATTGTCGAGTATGTTCAGAATTTTGAGACACGCTATACGTTACCCTCAGGTACGAGAGGAATGAGTAACTTATGTACCAGCATTTGACGAATCTACTAAGCATGTTTGCTAGATAGGATGTAAATTTGAATTTAATTCACTTTCGCAATACAGTAATCGCTTCACCCATTTGTCAACACATTCTGCGACTCAAACAAGATGGCCACGACAGTTCTCACAAACAAGAATTAGTTTCCGTTCAGAAATAGTCAAAGTTACGAAGCCAACAGGTACTGGCATGTTGGCCTGTTGTGGCTCACGTGTATTTGAATCAATGAATCTGTCGGTCCCCGCAATACCGTCGCCCCCGTGCCCGAGTGAATCGATGCCACCTGGTAGATGTACGAGCAAGCTAATATACAGTCACTAATTATAGTGAGTCAGCAAAGCACCAATCAATCATATGTTATTGTCGTAGCTAAGGTCGCACTATTCGAGGTTTACAATGAAAATCCAACTCTCTATAACGAGGTCCGCATTCAAAAATTTCGACAGGGTGGCTACGCAGAGGAAACCAATTATGCAATTTACTAAATCTATGTAGACTAACAGATTATGGGAGCAAGCTGGGATAGTATGGGCTAGTGATCCTTTTGAGCGCATAGGCTATGAGGTAGGAGCAAGCGGAACCAACTTCTGATGACCGAGTCATTTGATTGAAGAAAAGAACGCATATTATGGGACAGGTTGAAGTACCTCAGAATTTGCTGAGATATACGATGCTACGATAACCGTAAAGTTGAAGATACCAAATTACTATGCAAAAGAAAAAAAAAGGTGGGTCACTCGGTATATCCCATGTCTAGCGATCAGTTACCGCTCCCTGTCTCGACACGAATCAGGTGAAGGAGAAAAGTATTAGCTACATGTAAACCCTAAATTGTCCCCCTTTCCACTTGTGCACCCGAACCCCCAATTTACTGCTGGACGAATTGAGAAGTGTGGCTCTTGTACAGAGTGCTCGAGTCCAAGAGAGTGCCAGTTGAGGACTGATAAAAGTCAATCTGCAGGTACTGGTCATCCAAGAATCGAATCTTAGCATAGCTGTTATCAAATACGTAGGCAAACTCAGTGTAGGAAGGCTTGACAATAGAGGGGTTAAGGCTCTCAATATTTCCAGCACCACTAGCAACGATGTACATCGGGGCTTTGGGATCATTCATTCCGTTAGCATAGGCGGTGCCTTTGTAAATGGGCGCGAAGCGCTGCGAGTTGTGCACATGTCCGAAAAAACCTAGATCGGCCCCATGCTTGTGAACGATATCCTCGAGCGCGGCCTGGCACGAGTCGCAGCCTTGCTTGACTCCGGTGCTATACCCGGGTCGGTGGCCCGCGACAATGACCCAGGGGGTCATAGTACGGTCGACGGAGGCAAGATCCGCTTTATGAAAGTCGATCTGCTAGTTGGGCCTACCGAACGGTCCGCCGTTCAACTAAGAAGAGCCGCCGGGTCTATCGGGCGCGTTAGAGAAGTCGGTTTCTGTATTCATTACAACGATGTAGGCTATACCGTACTCGGAGTACTAGAATAGAGGGTTACCGAGGTTCTTAGCCTGCGCGGCGAGGTATCGGGCCGTATTGTTGGATGTGGATGACTCTAGTGGCAGGATTGCTGGCATGAAGGGACACGTTTAAAAGCCTGAAAAATTCCAGTATGGACAATTCCCAGGAACATTCTGCTTGCAGGTGGGGTAAGTGAAGGACCGCAGTTGAATCCTATCCGGACCGGGACATGTCCGAGGTATCCTCAGATATCCATCACGGAGCGATCCCGGGACGGACACGGCTCTGGTGCGAAATCATCCTCCATCTTGCAAAGCCAATGTTTATCTCAGGCACACAAGACCGACGGGATACCGGCTGGTATCGGGATTTCAATATGCCACAGTGATCTCCATGATTGTGTGGCTGAACTGTCGGGGTAAACTCTTGTACGTATGAAGATATGAAGATATGTTAGCCTACAAAGTATAAATGCAAGATTTCTACTCGGAAAGAAGCCTTTTCAAGCGACTAAACAAGGAAGGTAGGAAATCAAGTTCAATACATTCTATTTTTGTAGACCGTTTTGAGTGTGGCATCTACAAACGGTCCCACCTTTCATTTCCAAGCTCAATAAAATTCAATATATCCTTCATCGTATCTCTCATCCCTGTCTTAGATAATGCTCATAAATGTATTTTCTTATTGCGGGCTTGAGTCTAGTGCCTAAAACAACGGCGCCCGACCATCACCAATCCTGCACTGGTACCGGAAGACCGAATCCGGGTGCGGTCCCTCTGTTCTGGACAATCGTATTCTACATAACCGTTTCTTTGAATTGGAAGAATTATGTTCGATTATACAAACGTAGCATGGAAGATATGAGAAAAGCAGTTGTGAAGAGTTCTGGTAGCGAATGTGTGCCCTTTGAATGCCTCCTTTTCCCTCACCGGATTGGGCGTCATTTGAGTTTAGAGCAGCGGCCTTCCTACCTGAGTTTTCCCGAATCAAGTCGAAAAGATAGACTTTCCTTGCATGGTCTGCTTGAAAACTTGCAACGCGAGTTCGGGCTCTGACAATGTTAGCCTTTATCTCATTAACCGAAGGGTCGACATACGGTAAAAGGGAACCTCGTGGCCGGCCTCGAAGACACGTAGGTATGAAAGATTGTGGACCGTCTTGTATGTTCCCTTCTGTGTTCCATTGATGGTATATTCAACGAGCTTTTTTGCAGCGAACTCATCATGGCCACTGTAGGATACCTTGTCGGCAGTTTCCTTGTAACCCAGCCAGTTGCAGATCCAATCAGCGTCACCTGCCCACATCAATGTTCTCACGCCAGATTGAACAACATCGCTAAGCTGCTGGAGATATGAACGGGAATCTATTAACACGTTAACCTGTGTGAATAGATGTGAGGGAGGGATTCGGATAGCCCTACCATCTCCAGTAGCCGAAAATAGCGCATAGGCAGTCGTGGGACACTCTTGATACAACGAGCGAGCACCAATTGCTTTAACAATATCTGGGCGCAAAAGATACTTGCTATAGGTCTTAGGTGGGTTAGGGTCATTAGAGGGGGCCCGCACATCATATACATCAAAGTTACCAGTAGATGCGATGGGAGATTCGATCAGCTCAGCGCAAATTGCGGATGCAGCGATACAGGCGGCGTCTCCGCCAGTCGGGCTCGGGCACTCTTTGAGGGCAGGAAGACAGGCCGCGTAGTAGTCTGCATAGTATTCGGCAGCTTGGTCCGGAGTGATCAAAGGGCGATAAGGATTCACCAGCGCATAATCAATATATGACTTGTAGACGTCGGGAGCATTTGTGTAGCCGTTGTTGACGCCGAGCGCGACCAGATTAATCTCCTCACCGGACACCTTTCCCTGCTTGATAGCTAGGTTCTGCTTTAACACGTAATCTGCGAAACCTGGACCATAATGGCCTCCGTATGATTCCGTCCAAATAGCAAATTCACGGCTTTTATACTCTGGGAATTGACCGTAGAACGCTTGAATGAGTTTCCAAACATACTTGGCAGCAGTATCAGTTGAAACAACCGTATCCACGCCGTAGGAGAAACCGACTCCAATAGGCTGGTCGATGTACAGCATGTTTGCATACTCGTTCCAGCTGTAGGGGTTTAGCTTCGGCTCGTGATCGCCGTCATAGAACTGACAGGGGCCATTCTCCTGGAAAAGACCGATCATGCTAGAGCATCCTGGGCCACCATTGAACCAGGTAGCCAATGGAGCAGTCTCGGGGTTGTTGCGGGCTTCAAAAAACCAGAACCACATGTTCATCCCCTCACCAACGGAGAAATATCCCGAGTAAGTGTTGACGCCGGGCGTGGTCTCGCAAATTCCGGAATTCTTCACGACCTCGATGGTTGAATTAGTGGAGCGGTCCTGGAATTGATGATAGATGATGCCATCGCGCTCGACCAGCTTTGCAGTCGTTCCCGAGCTGGTCGGAGTAGCATAACAAGCTCCGAAGTGACCAAAGAAGAGAAGAAAAAGAGAGAAAAGAAGCATTTTGTTCGCAGGACTGGAAATCGATGCCTGATACGGAGAAAAGGCTGGCTGCATTTGTCGTGACATTTATACCATCATTCTCGGATACTGGTGTCGCGATAGCAATTACTGAGATATATGGTATTTGACCGATCCTAGGTTACAGGATTGAACTATTGGCTTGGCGAACTTAGTTGGATAATCTTGCACCATTTAAATGGCTGTACGAGGATACATACTGATATCGGCAATGCTTTCCGGCGACCTTAACTCTTCTAGAACCGCCTGACTGGCCGAATAGAGCTAAGATGCACATCTGATCCCGAGATGTTCCTGAAGTCTTCTCTGTCAACCGCGACGCCGACGGTTGTCCAGAGTTACATCGTTTCATGTGGGCTGATTTGTACGCAGATATGAGCTAATTCGTACAGCATACAACATCTCAAAGTTAACAAATATGACAGTCTGCATCACATGCAATTCGATCCTTCCGAAGTATTTGGCTGAGAGAGGTACCTTGCAGTATGCTGAACACAGTCCATACCCTCACTAATCTGGCACCCTAACCTAACGTGGGAATGACAACATGGCCGTGATCCACATTTAATATCCCCCAGTTACACCAGGAATAATGGCATCTTGAAAGAAAATAAGCACGCGATTGCAAATTTTGCAAAGGTTTAAAAAGCTCATATAGTCTAGCCCGTCTTTGAATTATACCACATCTCCAGGGCTGTGATCAGACCACGATATTCAAAATGGGCACGTATTCAAGTCTCGCTTCTTCGCTGCTGTTCATAACCACCGCGCTGGCTTCGCCGGCGACAAATTCTGGAACTTTCAAGGTGCTTCAGCAGCCAAACCTGAACTTCACCAAGAATGCTGCAGCTATTCATTTCTCTGATTTAGCAAAATACAATGTCACTCACAACTCAACCTACGCAGCTGCCATTGCAGCAGAGAAGCAGTCCGGAAGCACGCCCGCAATTCCTCTGATTTGGGAAAGCGAATATGTGTGTCCGGTCGTAATTGGAGGGCAAACTGTTTATCTCGACTTTGACACAGGTTCATCCGATCTGTAAGTGCCATCACCCTACCAAGGAAGAAATCAAATTTGTTTACCTGAAAGTATCCTATAGCTGGGTTCTCTCAACCTTGACAAACGTTGAGGGCATTGGTCACAAGATATATGACCCGAAGTTGAGCCCTTCTTCAAAGCTAATGCCTGGAGCGACATGGGACATAACGTATGCCGATGGTAGTGGATCCGGTGGAGTTGTTTTCAAAGACCATGTTGCAATTGGAAGCAGCGTTGCTGTAGAACAGGCCGTGGAGGTGGCTCTATTTGTTTCGCCACAGTTTGCCACCAATCCTTTCGATAGCGGTTTGCTAGGTTTGGCTTTTAGTACTATAAATACAGGTGAGTGCAAATGTTCGGAAGCTATTCGTCACTTAGCAAAGCGGTCTGATCTAATGATTCACCGATCCAGTGTCACCGATCCACCAGTTGACTTTCTTTGAGAATATCCTACCAACCCTCAAAGAACCGTTGTTCACCGCGGACCTTCAGCATGGGCGTCCAGGAGCCTATAATTTTGGCTTCATTGACCCCACCGCATTCAAGGGGCCCATTGCATGGACCCCCGTCACAAAGCCGCAGGGCTATTATGCTTACTGGCAGCTCGATGTTACTGGGTTTCAAGTCGGGCCTGAACCGTACCACGAAAGGATTATCAGTGGAATTGCGGGTGAGTAAAAGTATGCCCTTTTATTTATATCGTGGCACTAAGATTCTCCTCAGACACTGGAACTAGCCTTCTGTATCTTCCCCCTGTTGTTGTCCTTGAGTATTACTCCAAGGTAGTGGGTGCATTCTTCGATCCAAGCAATGCTGCATGGGTGTTCCCTTGCACTTCCCTTTTGCCAGACTTTATCTTCGGCATCGGGGCCTACCGCGGAGTTGTCCCAGGCAGCTACATACTTTTTGAGCCCCTAGGTAACAACCTGTGTTACGGAGGTATCCAGGTTAACACCGGCCTCCCTTTCTCCATTTTCGGAGATATCCTGCTCAAAGCACAGTTTGTCATCTTCGATCACTCCGGTCCGCGCCTGGGATTTGCAAATAAGCTGTGAGCATTGCCTTGTGGTTTGCAGAGAAGATTACGTGATTTGACCCTCAAACCCCATTCCGTTATCAAGCTTAACTCTTCTATGGAAGCTGAAAGCCTCTCCAATGTTATTTGCGATACGAAAGCGATTAGCCGCTGACCGAGAGCCGCTCTCTTGTTATATTTTGCCTTTGAGAAATTTTATTTACATGTTTCCCGCAATCTCTGGAGTGATACTGCTCAGATTTTAACAAAGGATTATTCATCTGTTCAGTTTATTTACAAGCCTATCGGCCGTATTGATAATTCCCTGTATAATTTTCTGATAGCGCAAAGCATATGGCTAGAGCCAGAGGTCCATAGATGATTATGGGCTCCGAAGGATTTGATCTACATGATATGAGGCGTCTGCACATCGCCTCGGAGTCGATTGCTCAAGCTAAAGATCATCTTACTCTTACCTGGCCTAAAGGCAGCAGCTATACAGGGATCATTTCTTCGCTGGGGAGGTTGTGAACTAGAGCCACGGCCTCATCAACAATAAATTTATTCCGCCATTAAGGAGTCTCTGCTTTCAATGAATTGTTCTTCAATATTCTATACTTACTTGCAAATATTTCGGATTTCCTATTTTTCTGTTGTCATTCAATCCGCTAGTCGCCCTCATGTAAAGTGATGTCCGTAAGCTTTTTCCAAATTTGCCACAGCCCCTCTCATCATTATCACCCACCACCTTAATGATTTTCCTGCATTGAACAATGAGATATAATATCTGTTAACTTTGCTCAAAGTAATCAGACTGTGTTATCGTTCGCCTCCTAAACTTACTAAGTCGGAGTTGATAAATTTAGCTCCGTTTTCTGAAATTTATCTAGCAAAGTATGATATGCTCAAACAAAAATGCGGTGTACTGAAAATTCACGAAACACTGCTGATGATTGTGCTGATCCTACCAGTGCCCAAAAGGAAACGGAATCTGACTATTTCTCGTCCGGATCTATTGAAGAGCGCAAGTTGAACTTGAAATACAAGTCTGAATTGCGGTTGGGGAAGAATTCTTATTGATCCTAAAAGAAATAAATATCTATAGATATCTATATACATAGCGTTTCAAAAGTATTTCCCGATCCCCACTTTCACCACCCTAACATCAAATATATATATCTATTCCACTACACACTATACTACTATCTTTCAAGCTATATATTTCTAGTAAGAAAATTTGAATTCGGGTAGGGTTAGACTCGCTTAGCAACTACTAATATTTTATATAATAACCCTTAACTCTCCGTATAGCTTCTAGTCTTCTTCCTATCCCTAAAATCAGCCTATCTATCTTCCTCTATTCTAATATATCCTAAGCTTCTATAATATATCTTTTAAAATAGCGCTAATCCCCCTTAGACTTTCCTATATTAATAAGCTTAGAATATAACTTAAAAAGCTTTAGTTTTAACTATCTCTAAATAGGTTCTATCGGGTTTAAATTAGGTAAGTATAGAGGCTAATCCTTAACCTAAATACCGTATATTTTAAACTACTCTTAGGTTATCTTCGTAATATAAATCCTAGTATTATCTTATTAGAATACCTTCCCTAGTCTATATATAGGTAAGAGACCTTCTTCTAACGCGTCTAGATAGGATCTTATTATATAACCTCGCTTCTAACTATTAGATTCCTCCTATTCTATTATAATAAGCTTCGACCGACTACTAAGCTAGATAGTACTCTAAACTATCTACGATATATCCTTAATATAAACCTATTTATTAATTAGATTACGCCTATAGGCCTCGGAAACGAATATCTAGCACTATTTAGGCCTAGTATTCGATAATCGTTTAATAGAACACTCGTCGGAAAATATCTACTTTTAAATCCTAGAAGAATTACTAATTCTTCGCTATTTTAATATAAAATAATATCGTTTCAAAGTAGTCTTTAACCCTATAGGGATCTTCTTCTTTAATAAGTGTTTAATAAGTTTAAATCGGCGAAGAACTCGATAAATTATTAACCTAGAAGGATAACTAGGTAAGTAGGCTGATAGCTATTTATAGGTCTAAAAAGGATACTAGCGAGCTTATAAATATAGAAAGGTATAATCACGACTACTAAGCTTCCTAGGCCTACTAGATCTAGGTACTAAATTAACTATATATTGTTATATATAGCGTTGAATAGTATTATATATCGTCTTCGGATCTATACAAAATCACGTGCTAGCTATGCTCTAGATACACCGTTATTAGCAGTATATACTATTACTAAACGCTAGTTAGGGGTAAGCTTACCTTTTTTTCTTCGCTTTTTAGTAGTTTCTGCTAGGCTATCTAGCATTTTGAGGTTGTGGGAAGAAGAAAAAAAATAGGGTTGATGGTTGATGTGGTGATAGAAAGTAGGGTCGGGAAAAACTTTTAAAACGCTACTGTACATTACTTGTCCCCTAGTGACAATGATGTCTGTTTCATGTGTGGTCACAGATACATATATATTCGAATATAATAGCAAAAATAGGACTGGATCTGACTTCAAATTCTGTTTATCCTCTATTCTCATCCAGGTATCTAATATTCCGTCCGTAGTCCAACTTCCGGTACTCTCCATGCCATTTGCATTTAGATTATCGAGAGGAGTCAGTCTACTAGAAAAGCTAGAACACTTCTCGAATTGTTTTATGCTGAGAAGAGCTATACCGGTTACTATGGGCTAGGCATCGGTCGACCAGGGTATAACAGCATGATTCAGGAAGATCGCATTTGGGGAGATCATATTTGAGTAAAAGAACCGGGAGAGTCCCGGTAGCAAAACGATAGAGATGGCACTCGCACCGGTTCTAGACGGCTTCTCGCAAAGCCTATTGGCTCTGAGAGAATCATGTACGGGCGACTATGGGGCGCGTGGAGAAAAAGACCGGAACCGTTCCGGGAGCTGCATAATTCCAGTTGGCGCTAGCTATAGAACGACGTTTCTAAACCATCGGCCTACCAGTGGACCTTGTGTGAAACAGTCTGACCGTAATGATCAGCGTATCAAAAGAATGGAAAGCTTTGGGTCTACCAGTGGGAAAGAGTAAGTTTCTGGAGAATCTATTCGTCAAGGGAAATAATTTCACTTCATGCCTAACCAAAGTAGATTCATTCTTTTTCTTCAGAGACGGATTAGAGAGCTAGAAAATGATGACTCGACGAAGGGAGCTTCTATGAACCTGCCGACCCCAAGGAAAGACAATATCTTCGAGTGAAATACTTTTTCTCATGTTGTTCTTTGTTCCAATTCTGGCGCCATTCATCGAAATGCAACCTCTCTCAACTCCCAGACTGGGTCCGCACACACTCCGTTTACAGGGAACTTTTGGCCAAGCAATCACGAATATTAATTGCTCGATGTGGGAGAGAGCCAAAGACCAATCTCGAAGCTGGGGCTTCATCCAAACATGAGTATCATAGTTACAGGTTCTGGATTTACATTGACGAGATGGCAGAATGTGTTTCTATAAGCATCGTCCTTTGCTTGGATGCGATTTCGGTTTGTTTTATCTACCGCACGTAGATCAACATAATTTCGTAGTCTTGGCCTATTGGCTTCTTCTTGCTCACCTAAGTGTTAATCAACGAAGCCGTTACTCCCCTATGCAATCGTTTCGGTTGCTGTTTTGCCATAACATAGATACTCATGAGGAAAATCTGCCTGGGGTGGTTGGGAATTGCGGCAGGTCCATCAGGAAAATGAACGTCAGGAGCCAGATTGATAATATTTACACATCATGACGGAATAACCTGAGAAAGGGTGAAAGAACATGTGATTTCGCGGATGAAAAGCCGTTCTTGAATTTTTTAGTGTCGAATTTCCCTATGATGATGGGTAAGATGTCATATGAGTCAGAGTTTCATGGATACATCCCGCAGGTGCGGAATTGACGGACGGGAAGTATCCGGGCGATGTGTGTCGTAATGTGACAATGAAATATGACTACGGATCTGTTCAACGAGGATTGTAGACTGCAAAAATACAATGATCACTCGGGCAGTAGTCCCTCCGCGGTCAATGAGGTTTGGCAGGAAAACGAGTCTAGCAATTTGATGCACTGACAGATGAAGCAGTAATTGTGAGAATTCTACACACATTCGTCATTATTAGGGCCGTTATTCGTATAAATCTTCGTACCTAGATTTGCCAATATATGGTTTAAAATTAATATTACTAGCAGTCATAATTCCCACGCTTCTGTCGAGGGCTACCTTGATTGGCACAGTCGCAGCCGACTGCGACCCGGTGCTAACTTAGGGGTTCGGCTTCACTGATCTTGCCCCACATACTACTGTATCTACTCTCCACAGCGCTGGCAACCAGGCAAAATTAACTCAGTCGTCGGAAAAAGTGTGTTCCTGGGGGCAATATGGCGCTTGCACGTGCGACCTGCAACGAAGGCCGTATTTAAAGTGGTGTACATTGTTTGAAAGTATACACATCCTTACGGCTGCGGTCGAGCTGGTCTGCGAAACTGTCCAACAAAGGATCATCTTGCAAGTCGCAGTTTTCAGCTACTCAATGTTTCCACTCACCACCAGCTGACAAACGCAATCCACTGTCCTCGGAGCCAACTTTGTCCCGAAGAGTACACCGCTCGTGAATACTTGTTTGGAACCAAAGCATTAGGGCGGCTCGCCGGGTAGGCCCATCGAGAACTAGTTGAAAGTTAACCTCCCGACCTTCTCGCAAGCAGCTCCCTATAGAGCTAGATAATGGTCAGACATGCGAAGACCCAATCAGAAAGTCCTAGATGGTGTCGTAATACCCCACAGATCGGTTGATGTGCTTGCTCGTGCGTACTTCAATAGTCTGCATTGTTCGACAAATCATCAAACAGTAGCAGTAGCGTAGCTTGCACGCAAATATTTTCTCATGATGGCCACCTATACGAAGCCGGCGTCATGACCCGGAGTTAACTTGCCGTAATTGATCCCGAGTATCAATAGTAATATCGCATTAGCTGCGGCGCATGTTCGACAGACCTGACCTTTCTGATGTCATGCCCTCTTCCAACTTCTAGCACTTCACCACATTCGCTCACTTTGCCACCCATGTCTTTGCCCGATCAATTTCAGAATGCTGTCTGACCCTGGCAAAAATCAGATAACCTCCAGCTACTCTCGCTCGCAGTGTTCTGTTATTTTAAGTATGCAAGGGAAGATAATCTCCTGACTCAGCCAGACAACTAAACATGGAACGTCTTCCTTCTTCAACCGAATCGGCACAGGCGCTGGATTCTCAACAAGACGAATTTTTCACACAGATTACCCCTTGGACAGTCAATGAGCCGGTCACGGTTTTTGAAGTTGCCCCACAGTGTACCCAGGCGTTCTCGAACCCTTTACGACTTCGGCATTCGCTGGCTTCAAACACCAGGACTGGCTCTTCAAGCCATGAATCTGGCATACCACACTGTGAATTAAAGGCGAATCCTCCTGTCGACGGTGACAATTTGGGAGAAGAACCGACTGGGAGAAAGCACGGTGAGACGCGACCCACTACTCCTTGGTATGCTCGAGAAGTATGTTTATCAGAAATGCGCATTTACCAGATGTTTTTGAATCACAGCAAAGTCCTTACCCGCAGCCCTACAGAAATATTTGGACGGCCCGGTGGAATGTCAAATTAAAGGTAGAATGAGGACCACAATCTTGGAAAATGGGAATCGAGCCGCTGTAAGAAGTATTGCTGATACACTAGCAGGATATGCTCGGCATTGTCGTCCCATTCAACCACTGCAACTGCCACCCCAAGTTTTTAACGAGCATTACTACCCTTCACAACAATGTCAGTCCACAGTATACCCAGTGTGGTATAGTGGACAGCCTGAAGGACCTCCATGTTATCACGACCCAGATCATCCAGTGCAATTCTCGTGTCTTCCCACAGCGAATATGAGGCCTCTCCAATTTAATCTATCCCGCAGGTATACAGAGTTTCTTGCATACCAATTAATATGATGCTATTTGCTATAGGATGAGCTGACTATCATATTAGTTCATTCCTGCCTCGACCGCAACTTCTTCATTCAGCTGCTAGTGCCATGCCTGGCCAGTACCTTATTAGCTCGTAAGTTCAACTCGTAGAGGCACCATATACATGGCCGAACGTGCAACTGCTCTTGTTTACTTGATGACGAAGGTCCAATTTCCTGACAATTTTAGAAGCAGCTCTTTCCCCTCTAGCGTAATGAGCCAGTTTTCGTTTTACAGGTCAGAACCTCACCCCCGTTCGTAGGTGAACTCTCGGGACAATGCCTCTCAGTTCACGCTAACGGATATCTACAGCATCTTTCGCCAACCCTCCATCGTTGTGCAACCTCTGCTGACCGACAAAAGTGCGTATACCTCAACTGAACCCACCATGACCGCATTTGAAAAAGGGCAACAGCTTCAAATTTTGAGCCCACAACCACGATTCGAATGTTGGGATCACTCCTGCAACGGCAGGCAATTCTCAAATTTCAGCAATTTCAGGCGACACCAGCGCGAGAAGTCGGGGCTGATACCGAAAGCAGAGTGTCCGTTATGTGGGGCAACATTTACTCGAACAACCGCACGTAACGCCCATGCCGCGCGAGGCAAGTGCAGTGGCGCCTTGAAATAGATAACTTGTCCAATGAGGTTTCTTCCGAATCACTTGCTGAATACATGAAACAGCTTCTTTTCACTAGATTTAGGGGTTTCGACGTGATGGAAGGCGAGTTGGAGAATCTCGTTGCTTGGTTTCATTTGATGCGATCGTTGAGGATTGGCATCAATGAAGGTGTGGGGAGGTCCACCTGATAGCACGTAGCTACGGGAATTATGATATCAGTCTTTGCCTGGTTCTGGATCCTGTTCTTCTGCAAACCTGTGCAATCCTTCTGGGAGCAGATCGCCGCCAGTCCTGAGAGACTGATGCACGGCTCCTGCAAGAGCAATGCCAGCCTCGGTGAGGTGTTTCCCGTCCACGCCTTTTGGGTACTTCTCGCAGACATAACCCTCCTCCCAGTTCCAATCCTCGAGACGTGCAGGTGCATCGAAATACGCAAGCGTTGATCTGACTCCTAGGAATAGGACTAGTGTACGCCGACATACCAATTTCAACCAATGCCTTTAAGCGTAGGTGAAAGAGCAATTGCTATACAAAGACCCGCACAGGTGGTACATGATGGAGTCGGTGGACCCAGGAGCGCACACGCATAGCGATGTGGCGGATTCTCAGGGCAATGCCGTGCCGTGGTGGGAGAATACTAGGAGTGAGATTGTTACGTAATGAGATCCGCATAGTTAACTGACTTACACAGTGATCGTGGTTGTTCAAGGGAGTAGTCGCAATTGACATTATATAAGGAAACATATCTTTGGCGCGAGGCGGTTGCGTCAAAAATTCACTTGGTCCTAGTTTGTCGCATGTTCCATTCTCTTTCACCTTCTCAGAGTAGTAATGACTATTTAATAATTGGGAACCCACCTGGGTCTCCATATGGCCATTAAGACGTGCCTGGCATAATATAAACATGGTTCAGAAAGTATTTCAGCTATTTGCAAGTAAGATAAACATTTTGCAGTACGTTTTACTGCTGGTATTCCTTTCTAAACAGGGATTTTCTAACGCCCAGTTGTCAAGGTTCGACAAGGCGTGGGTTTTCATGGCTGGGTAGCTGAAGATTCGTGGAGGCTGTGGCTGTGACTGGGAACCGGATTTGGGATAAAATCAATCCCTTTGCAAGCACCGCAAACCTACTTGCCCCAAGGAGTGGCCGTGGCCTAATGTGCTCGTGGATTAGGAGAGCAACGAAAGTCATGCACGCCTTTAGCTCAGAGTCTGGACACAGAAGTGCCTTTCGTAGGACGCTGACCGTTTCTTGTAATAGCATCTCCTCATGGGGAAAAGGGGGGAGAAAGCAAAAATATGGGAAGAGGGGTTGAAACTATCTTGCTTTCCTCCTTAGTTTCAGATCCAATTTTAGTATCCCCACAACGTCATGAGGATTCAGGAATCATCCTGCATGAACCGGGACGATTCCGTGGCTTCCTCCCATGGCTGCTTCATGCACCCGTTGAAGGTAGCAAGGCAGAATTCTCTCCACTCTCAACACAAGCTGAGTATCACCGCACGGCCAACAGAAGCTAAACATAATCCTGGGAAGCCTGAGCTTGGTCCCAACCTGCCAGATTTATTAAATGAGATGCATATTTAGTAAACTCAGCCTCACCGGCAGCTGGACATGACTGCGGCTAGACACGATAACACCGTCTTCGCGCGTGGCCATGAGCCGAGCTGCCGTATCCCCAGTCTAGGGGATACTATCAACTGCGAATGGCTCTTGACGTCGAGATGGGGCTTGAATGAGTCAAAATTGAATTCTCTCTAAGATACGTTAGTTTTTAGAGGCAAATGATACTATTTATACTCGATAGTGCTCTCTGCCATCTCCTTCATCAAAGGTTCCAGACTTCCTTTTTCCAGCAAGCACTTCAAATCCCTCCGCGCATGGTGACCAGCCATGGAACCCGACGTCCTGGTTGACGATAGTAGTCGAAGGCCGACTTTACCGGCACGGCGCGGATGCTAAGACCTTGCACCGACCGACTAACCTTTCAACATAGACCAAACTCTGGGTTCCAAGTGTTGATAGTGCTCCTGAGTAGACCTTAGCCGTAGTATGTTTCACATTACAGAGAAATCGGTCGCAGGAACCCGAGCTGCTATCATGGCCATGATAAATGAAAGTGGTCTGAGGGACAATTTCGGGAGGTCCGTAATTACTCCGGAATCGTTCCGAGATAATGTTGGTGGAACGTGGCGTTCGTTACCTTCTCCGAAACTTCCTCCTCGGCCTGGGGCCTCCCCGAAGTGCCCGCATCTTATCGGCTTGCCAGACTCCGCTGTGTATCGCATGTTTCCTCGGTTGCCCTAACTTCTGGACCTCGCGGCCCCCAAATTTAAACCTATTGGGCTCCTTCCAGCCGATAAAAAATGGCCCGTAGTCTAACAGGGAATGAAAGTGGATGGCAACAAATCTCTTCCTTGATCCGGAATTAGTAAAGGTGGGCTTTGCATAAAATTTCTTCACGACCATTGAGACAATAGTCAACCACGTGTGGCCATTGGCTGCTCGCAATGATCATCTTCAAGACCAATGTGCAATCACTCCTAACCGACATACATGAAACAACCACCGAGGAACTCTTTGCAAACTCTTTGCAATGTTTTCCAACCCATTCTTTAGCTACGCGTCAACCACCATGAATCTGAACACGGCGAATCTGACTACGGAACAGGAAAATCTGCACCTTGTGGACGGAGGCGAAGGACTGCAGAATGACCCTATATGGTCTTCGTTGCAGCCAGCTCCTGGCGTCGACGTCCTTTCGTCAAAGACAAAAAAGCCGATACCAACGACAATTGACCAAAGGTACTGATTTGACGAGGCTTGGGGCGCATGCTTGGGTTGTGCTATTCTCAGAAATATCGATACTAAGTTGACACGCGCGTAGAAAATATACTTTAGACAGTACTGTTATCGAATTTGATACTAGTCTGTTTGCCAAGTTGGATCTGTTGAGTTGTAGGCCAGGTGAGGCCTGAGAATAGAATTGAATCTTTTACAATCTAGTTCACTTGAGATGACAATCACTCTCCTTGACAGAATTACTTTTACTAAGTATCGTGATTCAGATAGTAGTGCCCAATATGTGCGTACATCGAGTCTTCGTAACCCGCTCATGTGCAGCAATACATGCAAGCGCCTCGTGAAACACTATCCTCTCATCCTCCGGCCAAGCCTGCGAGTCGTGATAGATATCCTGTAACATCCCGCGCAGACGATACCTACGACTTGATTTCTGCGACCAGTGAGCCACGCTGTCGGCTTTGAAGCTCGCTGTATAGTACTCAACGATCACTAGTAGACGCTCGTCAGTCGAGGAAGGCTGGGAAGAGCGCGTTGTCTCAAAGGCTTAACTACTTCGGAAGCCCTTCAAGGTTGGAAAATGCTGCAAACTTACTTTTCTCGATGCTCTCATATCCTGCTTGGTGTATACTGTTGAAAATCTGGATAAATCGCCCCTCAGAACTTGCCCCCCAGAAAGGCTGGCCCTCGGGACTGACGGCGAGTTGATTATCCTGCGTCGCCTGGAATGAACTTGATACTCTGGGTGATGACGCAGAAAGTGCCCAGGGCCATTGATGGGCCACACGTGCGCATGAACCAATATGTGTTTGGGACTCGCTTGACAGCGAAGATGAGGAATAATCAAGATTTTCAGATGTTGGAGACAGAAAATCAAGGGCTGAGCTTGGTGCGATTCTAGGGTAGTTGTTTGACTGGGCAGGGCTGATCGGCGGGCAGTTCATGGCCCACAGGTAATGGTCTGATTCTGGAGCGCCAACTTCCTGACCTGGTAGGATACCAACGCTAGTGCCTTTTGTATTATATCCCTCAGTCTGGACATTGGTGGAGGGGGTGAGTAAGCTGCGTCGACATAGTCTTTCAGTTCGGACAAGTCGCCAAGGTGCTTTTTGAGCTCTTCGAATTCCCGGATTCTATCCTTTAGTCGTTTACCTGAAGATTTGAAGCTCTGTAAGTAAAGGCAGAGGCGAAGCGGTGGATATCTGATCGTGAACGGCTTACGGTATTTCTGTTGTGCCATCCGGTTCTGTAGCCTTTTCTTCTCCGTTACATCCGTGGGGTCGGCGCCGCTCGTCCCCTCCATTCTTGTTGACGATGAGATATCTGCGCTGCTTCGACATTCACTACGCTTGTTTCTATATGGTTTTTAAATAAGTGACAGGTATGCTGCGGAAGCATGTGTCCGGGAACCCACTCGCCCGAGGTCATTAAGATGAAAGCTGCATGTGAAGTACGCCATACCAAGTGATATATTGCAACAGCTAGAGCAATAAATACGTTATTTGCTGCAAGTTTCTAAGATAGCAAAGGCTTACGCGTGTTTGGTTTGCCGCTATTGATCCCTGTAGGGTGGTTCACTGAGATGAACTCAATGGGCCTGGATTCCATGGGTCGGGGCGAACCACCAGGGACTATCCCGGTTGTCAACTTACACATCTTGTTTGTATAATCCGATTGGCGTAGACCAGGTCGATGGCTGACTTCGGCCGAGTGAAAACCCTTGAGGTCATGACCAGGGGGAAAACAAGATCAGCGTACATTCAGTGAGCACTAATGCATAGGGGCCAAGTTTGCCCCGTTTGTGATGTTTGATTTTGCAGTCGTATACCGTCACTGGTGACGTGATTGAGGCCTGGCCTCGGCAACGTGGCATATTCAAAGCTAACTGATAAAGACATGCGTTCCAGTCTCGATGCGAACTTCCAGCATAGATGTAGCAACCAGAATTGCAACAAATCTCCGGACCCGGCAGAAATATCGATGATGAATAACAGCAATGTTGACCAGGACAATACGGCGGGAAGACAAATGGGCAAGAAGAGGTGGTGTCTCGCTTGTATTACATTCTATTTGACGGGGTTCCTATACGGTGCGGCTTCCCAACCACCTTATTCCAACCCTTCAGCGCGGCATTTTGCACATTGCAACCCATTACTAAAACAGTTTTGAAGGACTGGATACTACAATTGCCGCCTCTATTCAGGGCGAGATATACCAGGCTCTAGGCGAGATCGACAAGCTGTCCTGGGTGGGCGTTGGATTTCCGATGGGATCCGTGGCTACTCTGGTCTTTTTTGGCCAATGCTACGGGACATTTCAAATGAAATGGCTGTATTTTTGCACAATCGCTCTCTTCGAAATTGGCAGTGCCATCTGCGGCGCCGCACCGAACATGGAGGCTATGATAGTGGGACGAGTGCTAACAGGCGTTGGTGGCGGCGGCATGTACATTGGGTGCGCCATGTTTCCGCGTCTCATGTCCGAGCGATACTAATTAATCTTTCTAAAGCACTCTCAACTATGTCTCTGGCTTTACAGACGTGGAGAAACGAGGTCTTTACGTGTCCCTAGTGGGTGGATTCTGGGGATTGGGCTGCATCGTCGGCCCTGTGGTGGGAAGCGGGTTCGCCGCAAGCAGAGCAACCTGGCGCTGGGCCTTCTATGTTAATCTAGTCATTGCAGTACTAGAGCTGCCATTATTTCTCTACCGCTTTCCGTCGCTGGACTTGAAGCCAGGGCTCTCCTTTGCGCAGAAATCCAAGTCCATCGACTGGGCCGGGTTCATCCTCCACGCTGCGTTCTTCTCCATTCTTACAATTGCTATTGCTCAGTCTGGGACAGTCTGGAACTGGTCTTCTGTGGGGGCTATCATTCTCTGGACAGCAGTAGGGATAGCCGCTATCTTCTATGGAGTACAGCAGACGTGGTGCCTCATGACGACAAAAGAGAATCGTATCCTTCCTCTTGATTTCCTCCAAAGCCGAACCCAAGTATTGCTCTACCTTGGTACGGCAACGTCGATTACGGCATTCTTTGTGCCAGCCTACTATATTCCGCTCTTTTTCCAGTTCACCAAGGGAGACGATAGCATGGTGGCAGCAGTCAGGCTCCTGCCATTCGTTGTCGTCAATATTGTCTTCAATATCGCTGCCGGCGCTCTGCTCCCTCGCCTTCGCTACTACAAGCTCTGGTATCTTGTCAGTGGCATATGTATTGTTATTGGCAGCGCTTTCATGTTTACGGTCACCAGCGCAACCTCAACGAGTGCCATATACGGCTATCAGGTTCTAATCGGAGCAGGATCTGGCTGCACCCTACAGATCGGGTACGCCGTAGCAGCAGCCTATGTGCCTGCGTCGCGAACAGCCCAACTCATCCGCTTCCAGAATGTTTCACAGATTGGATCCACGACGATTGCTCTCGCGATCGCTGGGTGTCTTTTCCAGAATATCGGCTACGACAGATTGCAGCACGAACTTGCAGGCTCGGGGTTCTCTAATAGTGACTTAAGAACTGCTCTTGCGGGTGTTCAGTCTCTTGTTCTACACGATGGAGACATGGATACGAGATCTCGGGCTGTAGCAGCCATTGTTACCTCTTTGGGCGACTTGTATGGACTCGTTATTGCCGCTGGAGCATTAATGATTCTGAGCTCATTGTTGATGAGATGGGAAAGGATGCCGTTATCTGACAGTATGGTTGGGGGGTTGTAGTTACACGTGGGAAATTATAAGAGGTTAAATAGGATGAATACGTCCCTGCTTTTAAGGCCCTTTTCCTTTTAAGGTATACATAGGTTGATTTATAGAAGTCTTACATGAGGCTCAGTTGACAAGTTACAATTCTCCGCGAAGCCCCATTGCCCGGTATGAACGTGAATTTGATTGATTTACCGAAAGCCTACCAACGTATATGTAAGACCTACTTGCTAGTTAGTTCTATTCTATCTCTTCGAATAAATTGTCTCACTCGCCGGGGCTGCCCTCGGGAGTGGGTCATACGTATACGTCAGTCTCACACTTAGGGGGTGCTACAGAGGCCACCTTGATAGAGCAGGGGTAAATTCTTGGTGCGTGTATAAATGATAATCCTTCGTCTACAATTGACAAAACAATCAACATGCCGGAATCAGAATGAAGAAAACTTTTGCTGCAGCCATCTCCCAACATTCTGGATTGTAACATCAGCCTCTACGGCCCGACCAGCCATGAAGACATGGACATGCTGCTGTTCATCTGCCATCTCCAGTTCCACCTCCACGCCTGCCTTCCTGGCTAGCTCTGCAAACCGCTCGCTGTCGTCCTGTAAGGTCTCATGCGTTCCAAAAGCAATATATAAGGGTGGCAGACCCTTTAGGTCCGCGTAAATAGGATTAACCAAAGGATCGCGCAGAGAGGCCCCTGTGCCAGCAACATACGCCCTGGCTAATTGATCTAGCTGCGGCTGATGAACCAGCTTATCGAATTTATTGTTCCGTGACATGGACTCAAAGTTGTTCTCCAGATTGTACCATGGGGAGAATGCTGCAATGGCTGCAGGTAGAGGGAGTCGGCCTGTTTCCTCCTGCTTGATCCTCAGAACCAGCGCCGTGGCCAAGTTCCCTCCAGCAGAATCCCCTGCGGTCGCGATCTTGGATGCGGGAAATTTACGCTCCTGTAGCAGCCACTCGTAAGCAGCGAGGAGATCATCCAGGGCCGCGGGGAAGGGATGTTCTGGTGCCAGACGATAATCGAGGATCAGCACGTTCGCGTTGGCCGCCCGGCCGAGGTGGGCGGCAAGCTTGCGGTGACTGTTCGGCGATCCCAGACTGAATCCCCCGCCGTGGATATATATAATGACGGACTGTTGATTCTCGTTGGACCGCGGCAGGAGGCCGACTGGTGAAGCCCAGATGCCTCGTCGTCCTCTGACCTTGACGTCTTCGTAGGTGATACCCGGAGCTTCAGCTGCACAGCTCTGCTCTTCTTCGTAGAGGGAGAGAATTGTGGCGCGGTCCAAATTTGGGTTGGCCTTCATGCGGCTGGCTTTAGATTCGTAGAGGCGGCCGAGCGCTTGAGATTCAATGGACGGCATATTGGAGTATAATGCGTGTCTTCGCAACTGGTACTAGATATTGTCTTCGATGTGGCAGACTCGAATGCTTCATCGCTGAACCAAGAATGGTCAGTTTTACATATAAAGACGCATCAGAGGCGCGGCAACTCTCTCTTGCGGCCTGCTGTAGGTAGTAAAACGTCATGCTCCACCCAGCAGGGTACTAAGTATAGTAATATACACATTTATTAGTAAATGATGGGCGAGAGAGCATTACTAATATTGCGTCAGTTGTATACAGTGTGTCATTATACCCTGGGGGGCTGAGACCTTAAAGGTCCACCTTCTACTAAGATGTTTCGCCCCCATTAGTCGAATCATGCCAGACTTATTCCCAATTGAATAGAGTAACAGCTTCACCTCTATACAACAGGCCAGCCACTTGGGGCTTTCATATCACATCGCTTTTGTGTCGCATGACTTGGACTTCCTATCGCTCAGGGACTCAAAAACAGAGATAGCAGGCATCTGCTGTTGTGTACAGAGCTGATCATGGCGCACCGCCCTGCTGGAACATTCATGAGGACGTCGTCCATTGTTCGAATATTCCATCGAAGGCTCCACAGTGTCGGTGGTCAGACTGGTACGTGAGAGGAGGCACTGGGCAAATTCGCCATTATACTGACTCACGATCCAGGGCATGTTCGACGTCAGATGCACGCCCATGATCCGCGGTTCAACTATCAGGACTTTTTCGAGAGCCAGATCAAGCAGAAAAAGCGCGATGGCTCATACCGCATCTTCAACAATATCAATCGCCTCGCAAGTAGCTTCCCCCAAGCACACACCGGAGATGCAAACGAAACTATCACCGTATGGTGCTCAAACGACTATCTCGGCGTCGGGAGCCATCCACAGGTTCTCGCGACCATGCATCAAACCATAGACAGATACGGCGCTGGAGCGGGAGGGACAAGGAACATCTCAGGGCACAATAAACATGCGGTCGAACTTGAAAATACGCTCGCCCAGCTGCATCGCAAAGAGGCTGCGTTGGTCTTTACCTCCTGCTTCGTAGCTAATGATGCAACACTCACGATCTTGGGATCGAAGCTACCGGGGTGTACCATCTTCTCTGACAGCGCGAACCATGCGTCTATGATCGAGGGGATTAGGCATTCACGAGCGAGCAAAGTGATATTCAAGCATAATGATCTTGCTGATTTGGAAGCCAAGCTGTCGTCTGTCCCTCTCGACGCACCCAAGATCATCGCGTTCGAGTCGGTCTATTCAATGAGTGGGAGTGTCGGGTCCATCCGCGAAATATGCGCTCTCGCACGCAAGTACAATGCCATAACATTCCTCGATGAAGTCCACGCCGTTGGCATGTACGGCCCCACTGGCGCCGGAGTAGCCGAACATCTAGACTGGGATGCACATATCCACGGTCACCACGAAGGAACAGTCCTTGACCAGGTCGACATCATCACGGGAACTCTCGGAAAGGCTTTTGGGTGCTCTGGGGGTTATATTGCTGGACGAGCTACGATGGTCGACGTGATCCGTTCATACGCGCCGGGCTTCATCTTCACGACTTCGTTGCCACCAGCCATCATGGCAGGTGCCAATGAAGCCGTCAAACTACTACAGACAGACTGGCAGCGACGGGACCTACAACACGAGCATACCCGAGCGGTAAAGGACGGTCTTGTCAAGAAGGGTATTCCGGTTATGTCGAACCCGTCCCATATTGTTCCTGTCCTGGTTGGCGATGCGAGGGATGCGAAGAAAGCAAGCGACATCCTGCTGTCCAACTTCGGCATATATATCCAGCCTATCAATTACCCCACGGTACCGCTGGGACAGGAGAGACTACGTATTACCCCAACGCCCAGACATACGAAGGAATTGCAAGAGGAGCTCCTGTTTGCGCTGGATTATGTCTGGGAGCAGCTGGGGCTGAAAAGGGCGCAAGAATGGGAATTGGACGGTCTCGACTGGGCGAAGATGCATAAGCCAGGAGACGATGGCGCCTTATGGGAGACCAGGGGCCTAGAATCATCGACTCCTGAACTGTAGAGTATGCTCCAGGTCCACTCAACTATCATCCCAGACATATAGTACTCAACAGTGGTCTCTTATATGAAATTATGGATAAACTTGTATTCTGATTAATATCCAGACGTTGATATCTCCCACGAGACTCCCATCGCTGGTCTTGGGACTTCCCGCCGTGGACGGGAGTTGGGACACCCTTTCGTCCCATTGGAGGGACTAGAATGGCCGTGTGATAAGGGGGAATCTACTATTACACGGGAGACGGCCTGCCAGAGGAAGAAAGGGGTCTTAATTAGTTAACAGTGAAATGTATTTTCCGGCTAGGTTAGCAATATCAGCTACAGACAGGCGGTCGCGCAGAAAACCGGAGCAGGGGATATCCTTTATTCTTTTACAATTTTCTCCATTCGGCCCCTCTATCATTTTCTGGCATTCTCTTCCGTTACCAAATAAGTTACCCCGGGAAGATGCGGAACTAGGGAACTTTGATGAGGCAACACGACGAATGCCACGCATCAGGGGCAACGGGAGCACGCACGGCGGACTAATTAGGACGGCGGATGAATGTGATAGGGTAGATCCAGCGGCGCATAGGGTATATACTATCTATAAATACGTCTACATATAAAATGGAAAGAAGGTGTGATTACATTAAAAGGACGTTCGTTCCTTAGCCGTGTCACCACTGACTCGACCCTAGACGTCGATCGATTGATATATCAGAAAGCTGAGGAGCTAGAGCCGGCTGACTGTAGAAAGCCGGGCTAGATTCTTTCTTCGGTGACGATACGACGAGGGGGATAGCGATGCAGGCTTCAGTCGCGGAAGAAGATACCGAGATACGTGGTAGGTATTTCACACTAAAAGCTTCTACTTTTTTCCAAGAACCTTCCGTCTTTGCTTCAGCATATAGGAATACATCATGACGGACCCTTATAGTGTGTGTTAGTTTTTTGTGTCTTGCGGATGGTGACAAGGGACATTGAAATGAGGGGCGCCAACCTGGAACGTAAAGACCCAAGAAGAAATAAAAAATGCATAATACAGCCCATCTAGTGGTGGCTGTGGTCGCCTTGTACATAAGCCACCATTCGCTTCCAATTCCAATAGGGTATAAAACCAAGAAAAATGAGTATCTAAAAGAAAACCATGTAAGCACATTAGGGGTCAACGGAACGTTATAGATAGCTCACCTAGACCATTTTAGAAATTCCGGTACTGAGTAACCCGCTTGTATAATTGCAAAATACAGATAGCGAATTATGTCTGCCGAAGACCATGCCAGTAGCATAACAGGGTACGCCACCGACGGAGCCGTCACACTAGTAAATGCATAGTTGATTGCCCAGACCTGCACGGAGCGAGCAAAGACCTGCGTGAATGTGGTAAAAACTGGAGATCTGGTTAATTCTACAATATGACCTTGATTAGTATCATCGTAACAAGGGTCGGGATGATAGGGTAAAGGGGGTTGAGACGAGGGATGTATGTGCTTACTGGTTGCCGCGTGAAGAATTTCGACCACGGCTAGAGTCTGAGTATATCTTGCCCACAATTCGACATTTTCGTAAATATCCGCGACGTCTTGGGATGAGATCAAATTTGTTATGATAGTGATCAGAATAGACAGCCATAGGATGGCACAGGTGGTATTGTACAGGAAAAGATAAGCCCTGCTGACCGGGGACTTAGGCTCAGAGATAACCTTCGCGACCATGATCTCTCGTGATCGGTATTTATGCTGATAAAGCTGGGAGGATCTTGTACCTTGGGACGATTGGTGGGCTGGTGAGATTTTGCACGACGTGCTTGATCCGCAAATTTGACAACGTCAGGTTAACCCGATTAGGGAAGATTGGACCCACAGTCGCTGCGGATGTCTTTGAAATATAAGATACAGATATCCAATGCGACGCAAGGCCGTGAAAATATTTTGTCAAGTAGGAAGACTGCATAATACTGCCGGGACCCACATATCTCAATGTGCGTCAGCTCACTACAGGGATACTCAATTCCCTACGTGTTGAACCAGGGCGCTCTACGGCAAGCCTGAGAATGCAGGCAGGATGAGATAGGTCGGCGAACAGGCCAACAAATCACCGCACACCACGATGTAGGAAGCCTCCCAAAATGGATAGCAGAAGCAGATGAAGCGAAGAGAGTATGAAAGTTGATTCTCTCCCTATCGGAAATGCGAAGCCATATCCTGTAAAGACTGTGTACTAGGAAAGATATCCTCCAATCAGAGATCACCCTTCGTCGGCGATTTCCCCACTGCAGTGTTTTGTATCGTGTCCCGGGTATACTCGGAACCAAGCGCCGTATCGCGCTAGACGGCAAGGTAGAGGATATTCGACATTGCCCGCCTACACACTCAGATAGTTAAACATCATCAAATTGAGTATCGCGTTCCATTGGATTCCCAGCATTCCTAGCCGATACCGTATTCTACTATATTGGCATATTTTAATGTATTATCTTGAGGTTTATGTAGTAGTTTAGCTCCAAGAATGTGGTCTTGGGCGTCGGTAAGAGGTGACTGGCTCTTTTGGGGTCAATGTTAGACTTCCTGATTTCGTTGACATAATACATATTTCAATAGCCCTTCTTTCCTACACACCTTCCACAATGACCAAGGTCTGAAATACATGGGAGTTTTCATCACATAGACTCCTGTTCTCGATTTCTTAGTTCGTCGTTTTTTCCACCTAGCCCTACCTTGAGATATCAAACTTAGAGCATCAAATAATTTTCTTTCAAGATGAACCTCCCATATCACTCTTTCGGATACTACTATTGATATTATTATTATATAGCTGGAGCTAGAGAGATCAACCAATCAGTCCTTGTATTTCTGTTGGGACTTCTTCTATTTACAATGTGTTATGCACGGATTTATGCCTCCTGATTTCCAACCTGACGCGCATAAGAAGTTACTATCAAAATAGGCAGATAGATAGTAATTCCAAAGAGCGAACATATAGAATCAATATAGAAAATGAAAATGTTGAACGAAAGAAGGTGGATTTGCCCCTGCACATGGTCCCAGTCTCCACGCAACTTGCCACTCCCATTCCCACGTCCCCCTGAATATCTCCTGCGCACAACTTCTCCGGCACGCTCGAAGTAGTCGAGTAACAAAAACCATATTACGGTCGGTTCGCTGAATGGCTGCCAATGAACACATTTGAACGATAGGCCTCACTTCGCCGAGTAGTTCGCACATACACTCGCGAACTCCTCATACAGACTGTAGTAGGGAAATCCCCTAAAATAGGTTTGACCTGATAGGATGGAATTTCCAGGACACTCTCATTGCCAATATAACCTCACATCTGAGACAGAGAAATATATAACTTCCACACACTCTTTCCGTGAGACGGCATCTGTTTACTCTATTTTCCTGAACATCATGACTCCAAATATATAGACCAAAACGTTTAAAAAAATTATAAGCTAAAGAGCTTCACATATAGGTTATAATTGCAATTTTCCGATTGAGGAACAACTGCCTCTTAACAACTATGAATGTATAATAGTGTTCAAAATTATTTACCGGTCCCCACTTTGATCACCACACTAACTACCTATATAAAAATTTTCTTTCCTTCTACAACTACTACTATGCTAGATAACCTAGCAGAATCTGCTAGAAAACGAAGAAAAAAAGGTAAGCTTACCCCCTAGCAGCGTCTAGTAATAGTATATACCACTAATAATAGTGTATCTAGGATCTAGCTAGCAAGTGATTTTGTATATAGTTTAAAAACGATATATAACACTATTTAACGTTATATAGAAAGCTATATAGTGTAGTAGGGAAATGGCCTACAAGGGAGATCTCTAATTGGAGGATATCTTTCCAGTACACAGTCCTTACAGGATATAGTTTCATATCTACAATAGGGAGAAGAATCAACTCTTACACTCTCTTCACTTCATCTGCTTCTGCTTCCTGTTAGGGAGGCTTCCTCCATCGTGGTGTGTGGTGATTTGTTGGCTAGTTCGCTGAGCTATCTCATCCTGCCTGCATTCTCAGGCTTGCCGCTGAGCACCCTGGTTCAATAGTTAAATTAGCGCCTTATAAAGGAAGGCCTAGGAAGCTTACTAGTCGTAATTATATCTTCCTATATTTATAAGTACGCCGGTATCCTTTTTAGACCTATAAATAGCTATTAGCGTGTTTACCTAGTTATCTATCTAGGTGTTAGAGAATAACTACTTATACAGGGTAGAAAGCCTGTCGACTAGGTAGGAAGATAAACGTCAAGTAAGGAAGACAAAACACTGTTTCTTACTGTCATGGATCTCTCTATAATCCTTAATTTATGTACAAGATTCAACACTTTCCTATATGACCAAAGCAAAGACGATGGATCACATTATAATATGCGGTCTGACGTGGCCCATATGTAACAGAGGTAAGCAAAGGCTATAGGGAAGAGGGGTTCACGAATCCCTAATGGAAGGGCACCGAACCCTGAAGGCCTTGTAGGTTATGCATCTATGTTGGGGAGAAGTGGGGCTGTCATAACGAAGCCTGACCGATAAGGTGTCAAAATAACACCTGAGGCATGGAGTTGGGAATAGCCTCATGTTGCAATATCATATGACAGATAGGCAAGCGTTGTCCTAGGCACGCCGAATTCGCGTGCTAAACGCGCGATATTCGGCTTCACAACGCTAGATGCTGCTAAGCAGGCCTCGGCCATACGAGCTTCGTCGAATTTAGGCATATTTTAATAGTGGTGTTGGATTGGGAAGCAAAAATAGGGTAGTAGCAAAAAATGACAAAATACATGTGGGTGACAAAAAATGGGTGGCGCGGGGTATTGGGGGGCGGTGTAAGGCACTAAATAGCGCATGAGTCCCAGAATTTGCTTGCCAACAATTTAGGTTTACCAAATGGCTGTCAAAAACAATATTTAGACCCCGCCAAGCGTGGGTTTGAGCCAGGTTTTCAATTCCTTGACCAGCACCCGGTAACACCACCGCGGGTTTTGGCCTTTATGAAGCAGCCTGCAGATTGTTAAGTAAAGCTTCAGCATTCACCTAGTTGATGGGTGTTGGCTGTTCATCTAGATACAGAGAGGCTGGTAGCCAGGTAGAAACACGTGTATCCACATACTCTAAACCGCCGTGACTATCTCAGTGACCGGGATTTTCAGCAATGTTTCTTCTGCTAGCGGTAATCTTCTTTCAATGCCAAGCATAGATTACATGGGCTGACGCTGAACTTATCTGAGACTACTGGTCCCATACGACCTCTCAGACCAACAATAAATGACTATCTTACTAACCAGCACTAAGATAAAAACACACTTGTACTCCAGTATGCCTTAGCCTCTTTGTTTCGCGAATCTTGATTGACAAGGCTCGGTAGTCCACGCCGCCATTTTCCGGATGATCCGGATGGTTCCGTTGTTTCATGAACTACCCGTATCCGGCGTCCGTAAATAGAGTTGGTTCGCGGAAGGTAAATTACAAGAGTGTTTCCATGTTTTATCCCACTCTTTATTTTGAGGACGGATACGATTACCACGAGTGCATCTTACCACGAAAATGATAATATTGGCCTTGAGCTAAAGGCCACGAAGTAGCATTCCGTCAACGTTTCTCAGAGTAGATGCATGAAAGAAGTGTTAATTTGCCTCGATCATGGACGATGGGGTCTCGAGCCGAGTTTTCCATGGTTGAGGTTGTCCGCAAGATCTGACGAAGCTTCTTTCTACTCTGGTCATGAGCCAAGGCCTAGACGTGATTTAACGTTTCTCGGAAGATGGACGAAGGCCTTAAGAATTTATCTGCATCATAGATGACGTCTGGAGCCAATTTGCGCAATGTTTTACACCGTAAGTAGCTATAACAGAGTCGGAAAGAGCTCCTCCCTCCCTCCCTCTCAAATCACATAAATACTCCCAGTCTTCCAGTTATTGAGTGGGTATACAGTTGTGATTCTCATATTACTGAAACTAGAAGGTTTCATCAAAACTACAAGACCCCAAACGATCAACGTTAGAATGAAGCCAACACTCTGGTTACTCGGCCTTCTGGCTGCAACAACCTCGACCGCCACCGCGGCTCTTATAAATTCTAAGAGCGCTTCCCTTACGAGGACGAACCGGGATTGTGCCGGAGTTGCTGTTGGAGCTCCACAGACAGAGACCTTTGGCACCGTTCAAGTTGTTCGATCTGTAAACCAACTTGTCGCGGTTCCTGTTTTATTAAAGGGAACCCCAAATACTGCTTATAGTGTCCGCTTGATTCAGATCAAGAACGGAGCTGCCGTGAGCTGCCCGAGCTGTCCGACTGGGCAGACATTGACGACGAACGATGCGGGCATTGGATACACGACTGTTCAGCAGACCGTGACTGCGGGTGCAACAGGGGCGTGGGTGGCCATTAACAAGAAGGCCAACTGTAATGATTTTTTTACTATTCCCGTGGTGTCAATTACTTAACACGATCTTGAGATATTATAACTTTCTCCATGAAAGCTTTACAGTGGAAGCATGATTACTAAATTGAACTTTTGTCCTGAATTTAACTTATAAAAGTTTTCTGAATCTCACTTTCTACTATTAGTCCTAGTCCTTAGTAGATCCGAGTCTCTTGTAATTAAATAAATATAAGTTTGAACTATATCTTATAGGATGTTATACGTGAAATGTTTTGGAACAATCATATCCATGATACTATTCAGTTAACTTCGGATATGAATCGTATGTATAAAGTAATGAATATGTATAGATCTTAGATACTCCGGATATAGGATACAAATATAACGCGATGAAGAATCTTATCGTTATTATTTTTTGAATGTTATATTAATTACATTAATCATAGTATAGAATGAAATTCGCTATCTTTTGAACTGAATCTCTTCAAGATTCTTATTGAATAATAAACCACTACTATCATTCCTCGATTCTATAACGATCCCCTATTAATATTCATTCTTTTCTTTCCTAGTCAACAGGCTACTACCCTGTAAGTAGTGCTCTTACAATACTAGGAATATTATAAAAAATAGACAAAGAATTATTTCTATAATATCGGGATACATAGAGCAATATGCGGGTACGTACAGTATTCAATAGCTTCTCTATCTTCACACAATTACTAAGATAAGACTATTAGTGCCTTACACCGCCCCCCCCCCAACCCTTCCGGGTTGTGGGTGCGCCACGCACAGACTGCCAACCACACACAGACTGCCAATTTTTCTACCACCCTATTTTTTGCTTCCCTATCCAACACCACTATCTCAATATGCCTAATTTCGACGAATCTCGTATGGCTGAGGCCTGCCTAGCTGCATCACGAGAGGAGAAGCCGAATATATCACGTTTAGCGCGCGAATTCGGCGTTCCTAGGCGTACGCTATATAACCGTGTTAAAAAGAGAATAGGGCCTAATTTAGCTAAACGCAATGCTAAATAGGCCCTAGAAGCCTATCAAGAAGAAGCCTTGATTCGCTGGATTCAATATATAAACGATTGCTATATACCTATCACTCCTAGGATACTAGAAGCGTAGGCGAATCGTGTATGCTAACGCGTCGGGAAGCCGTCGGTTAGCAAGATATAGGCGTATCGCTTTATTAATAGGCTTCCTAAACATCTTCAATTAGGGCCTACTAAGTAGTATACGAAGGAATCAAAGCGAATACTAGTAGAAGATCTAGCAGTATTATAGTACTAGTACGATCTACTAGCCTAAACGATTAAGAAGATAACGCTAGCATATCTTATCTATAACTTTGATAAATACGTAGGCCTCGGCACGACCCGCGGGTGACCCTCGGCGGGTGACCCTCCGACCCTCGTTTTGAGGGTCGAGGGTCTAGCTTATAGACCCGCGGGTCGGGTCTAGTGTAGGTAGGACCCTCGCGAGGGTTACCCGCGGGTAACCCGCGGGTAGTTAAACTAAGCAAATAGGAGGAACTCGCGACTTGTATAATTTATGCAGATTATAGCGGTATCTTTTAGTATTTCACTTACTCTATCCTAGTGTAGAGAGAGTCTATAGGTAGCGGGTAGAATATATTGAATAATCCTATTTAGTGATAGGTTTTCTAACTACGGTTAAAATTAGAAATACTTATATATTAGAGACTATCCTATAGCCTATATTTCTAACTACGGTTAGAAAACTAGGGTAGTTAAGGGTCGGGATAATAGATATTAGATAGACTACGGAAACTCTTCTATCCTATATAGATATTTTTAACTATAGTTAGAAAACTAGGGTAGGACTCCTCTTAAACCTTGTATCTATCTAGTAGTCTTAACCGTTTTCGAAGACGGCCTAATATACGTTAGTATATATTAGGTAGTAGAAGGGTAGCTATATTATTATCTCTATCCTCGTAGTCTTCTATAACCTCTAGTTCTAATATAATACTCTTCCGTTATTTCCCTAGGCTTCGTTCGCTACTTCCCTAACCCTCTAGCTATATCTCTATAGATTTATCTTCTTCTTCTTTATAATCGCTAATCGGATTAATCTTACTTAACTATATATCCTTTTCCTCTTTAGCTATCTAGGTCTCTTTATATAAGAGATACTCCTTAATTATCGCTCTCTGTTAGTCCTTAAGATTAAACCTTGATATATATATAAATATTATTAGGTCCTAGATCATCTTAGATTTAAGAGAGCCTCGGCGATAATAATAGATATCTCGAGCAGAATTAAAGAGCCGCTCTATACCTATACCTATTATAGGAACCGAAAGAATATTATAGGTAAGACTTGTAAGTACTAGGAACTCCTACTAGTGCTCCCTCTAGAAAATATAAGGGCTAGTTCGAATAGTTGCTATATATTATATTAGTAATTAGTAGCGTATATCTAATAGAGTATATACGGGTATCTAGGTATTACGTAAGCTTATTATACTTACTATTAACTAACTATTAAGATAACTCTAGCTTATATATTATCTTAAGCTTAGAGACTATACTATAAGACGATTAAATAAGAGTAGGAGGCTAGGTTTATAATAGCTACTATTTATAAGGCTTAAGATAAGACTCGAAGCTTTGCCGATAACGTATATACTAGTCGTGATCCTAATCCTTAGTAGAGAAGAACTAAAGCTTCTATTAAGGAGAAATTATTATACCGATAGTATATAGATTACTATAGATTTAATTAGTTATACTATAGTATTAAGAAAGCTTACTTTTAGCTGAATTTAGAGTAGTAAGTATTAACTACTTCTAAGGAACCTTTTTCTACTATAGCTTCTAAATAGACTTTTCTAGATAATTAAAAAGCTTATTATAGATACTAAATATAAGATAAATACTTACGTCTCTTATCTTAGAGAGTAGAGTAGTAAATTAAAAGAAAGGCTAGGTAATCTAGAGAAGATACTCGATTTAGCGCTATTCTTCTATACTAAGTATAAAGTAGTCTTAGTTATATTAAATATAAAATATATCGAATATAGACTAAAGACGTTTTATATAGCGTAGTATTAAGAATATTAAATTCTAGTAAGTTATAATATCCTAGATCGGTATAAGCTTTAGCTCTTCTTTTTAGAGATTATAAAAGGCCTCTCGACGCTATAGACTAGCGTTAATATAGATAGCTAGGCTCTGTATCTAGTAATAGGTTAGAAGATACGAGAGATATATATATTAAGCTTATACCTTATTTAAAGTATTAATAATCTCTTTCCTCTTCTACTTTACACGAAGAGACTAGATCCGGACTTTAGACTATTTAGTCTTAGCTATTTCGTTCCTTAGGTTTACTTTTATCTAACTAAGGAGATCTTTCAAGCTTAGTTAAATTATATAGGTAATATATAGAATATATATAATAGTTAAGCTATTATAAAGCTCTAGTAACTAGATTAACTCCTATATACTAGCTATTATTATATTATTATTAGACGTATTATCTGTCGTTATTATAAGAACTCGATCTATAATCTTATATTATTAGAGAAGGTTTATAAGTATATCGCTTAGATTTATACCTAAGTACGTCCTAGAGAGAGGCTCGAATCCTAAAAGGATCTCTTAGTATTCCTAGTCCTAGTTAAGGAAGTAGCCGGTTACTACTATAAAAGACTACCGAAAAGGAGAGGTCTAATAGTCTAGTATAAGTAAGAGCTTTAAATCTAAAGGTAGTTTTCGAAGAATACTTAGTTATTACTCCTTTATAAAGTCTCGTAGCCGGGTTCGAATTATTTTAGAGGAAGGGATTTCTAGACTCCTTAGGGTAAGGCGAGTATAATTAATAATATTATAAAATTACTAGTACTTAATAAATTAAAATAGGAGTCGTAATAGAGCGAGTAAGTTTAAAAGCTTATATTCCTACTCTTCCTAAGTAAAGACTAAAGCTTTCAGAGAAAACTTTACCTAGAAAAATAAGTATCTTAGATAGGATAATTAATATATTATATACTATATTCTCGATTATCTATCTAATATTTAGTATTATATATACTACCTTCTAGTAGTTAACCTTCTTTATATACTTATTTATTAAAGATATTCTATAGCGATAAGTACTAGGATACTTAAGAATAGTAATATATTAATTATATATTACTCTAGGCTTCCTAGTTTTTTCGTCTACTACCTATTCGAAGTATAGTAGTGTTTCAAAAGTCTGTTCCGATCCCCACTTTCCATCACCACACCAACCACCTATATATAATTTTTCTTTCCTTCTACAACCACCTAGATGGCATCTAGGCACCCCGATTTTGGTGGTAATCGCAAGAAAAATGGTGAGTTAACCCCTGCTCAACGTCAAGCTATTGTATATGCTATTAGAAAGGGTGATATTTCACGTGCTCAGCTAGCATAGGATTTTAGGTGCTCGGTCAAGACTATATATAACATCTTTAAACGCTACTAAAACGACTACACCTTCGATTCAGCGCCTCGTTCAGGTAGGCCTAGGAAGCTTAGTAGGCGTGATTGCACCTTCCTATATTTGCAAGCTCGCCGGCATCCTTTTTGGACCTATAAACAGCTATCAGCCTGCTTACCTAGTTATCCTTCTCGGTCAACAATTTGTCGAGTTCTTCGCTAATTCCGACTTGCTAAACGTTTATTAAAAAAGAAGATTCCTTTAGGGCTTCAGACTGCTTTAAAACGACGATATTTTGTGTTAAAATAGCGGAAGATAACTAATACTTCAAGGGTTGAAAAATGGATATTTTCAGATGAGTGTTCTATTCAAAGAACGTCGAATTCTGGGCCTAAATAGTGCTGGAGATTTGCTTCTAAGGCCTATAGGCGTGATCTTATTAACAAGCAGGTTCATATTAAAGATATTTCACAGATAGTTTAGGGTGCTATCTGGCTTAGTAGTCGATCGAAGCTTGTTATAATGGAACGAGAGGAATCTAACGGTCGGAAGCGAGGTTATACAACAAAATCCTATCTAGAAGCGTTAGAAGAAGGTCTTCTACCTATATATAGGC